AAGACAATGAGCACTGCGTGTGTTTCAGTGTGACTTGGCCTCAGGGCTCCTGTCCCTGGCGGTGCCACGGGAGGGCAAGGCCTTGGTCCACATGAATGGGTGTGAGTTGGCTCTCTCCCTCACCTTTTTACTTCTTGCCGAGAAAATGGTAATGGTAATGCCTGCTATTTTCTATATATATGGATATGCATGTTCACGTGTATATATGTAATTTTATGTAATTTCGGGTGGTACTGGGGATACCTTATGATAATTTTTTTTCTGGTACTAGGGCTCCAACCCAGTGATGCACTACCACTGAGCTGCACCCCCAGACTTTTAAAAAAAGAATTTTTTTTTTTTTTTTAAAACAGGGCCTTACTATGTTACCCAGGCCGGCCTTAAGTTTGTAATCCTCCTGCCTTAGCTTCCTGAGTATGTGGGATTACAGGTATTCACCAATGTACCTGGCATACAGACACAAAGACACACACACACAGAGATACACACACACAGATACACACACTCAGACACATATATATTTTTTTAAACTGGGGATTGAACCCAGAGGCACTTAATCACTGAGCCACATCCCCAATCCCTTTCTTTATATTTTGAGACAAGATCTCCCTGAGTTGCTTAGGGCTTCATTAAGTTGCTGAGGCTGGCTTTGAACTCATGATCCTATTGCTTCAGCCTCCTGAACTGCTAGGATTTCAGGCATGCGCCACCACGCCTGGCTACCTTATGATATTTTAATGAAGATTAATGATCCCTAACAAAATGCCTAACACATTCTAGGTATTCAGAAAAAAGAAATCTATAAATCTTAGCTTTCCATGACTTTGGTTTTCTCTGGAAATAAGAGTTTTATTTCTGCCAAATTAGAGGCCTTGATAGAACAGGGCATAGTTTAGTGAATTGTACCTGTCACAGTCCACGATACTGCTGTGGATTTTGGTTTCAGAGGGCTTTATCAGTCGGCTGGAACTTCCGTAGCAAGACACCACAGACTTGGGGAGGGGTACAGCCGATATTTATTTTTCTCACGGTTCTGGAGACTGGGAATCGCGAACAAGGTACCAACAGGGTTGGTTCCTGATGAGGCCTCTGTCCTCGGCTGGCAGATGTCCTTACGTGGCCTTTCCGGAGTTCACGCACTGGTGTCTCCCTGGGAGGACATGAGCAGGCCCTTACCCTTGTGTCCCCACTGGGCCTTCGCTGCCTCTGACGAGTCCTGTCTTGGGTCACACTGGGGCTGAGGCCTTGGGCACGAGGAGTTTGGGGAGACACGTCCAGGCCCTGACAGCTCTCCTCTGCCTGGGTCAGAGGGCTGCTGAAAAGGGGTGGAAACAGTGCTGCCGTGTCGATTTGCAGGCCTTTTATCATCCTGTCTCTAATACACGGCAAATGCGTACTTTCTTATTTTCTCTTCATCTTTTCCCAGCCCTCATATGTCTGTAATGTTGTGACTTTCAAACTGTTCTGGCCATAACCTGGAGAGAATTACATTTGCTAATATGTATAGATTCACTAATAAGTTATTAACAAATAACTCACAATTCAGTAGCCACCCTTACAAGGTGACATGCATACTAGTTCCAATTCAATGTCATTTTTTTTTTTTTACACTATTGCCAGTGGGACGACTTCATGTGATTTGGAAAGCATTGCTGTTCTCAGCCATGGTGTGTGACACACTAAATGACTCTGTTTTAGTTCTTTGAGGTCATGAACGTGCAGTCCGCTTGCCTTGATGGATGGTATTTGGGAAGCCCATCCTAAGACTTCCCTGCAGAGGAAATGCTAGTTTGGAAAGTTTCCCTGCCATTTGGCAACCTCTGCAGGAAGTAGACAGTAGAATGGAAAAGTTTCATCACATTGACGTCTTGGCTGAGAGAGGAGCATGCCAAGGTGTGGATTCAGGAGCAGGGTAGGTTGTGGTCAAATCTCACTGTAGCCCAGTGATGACGGAGTTTATGTATCTGTTTTCTTTTTCATGGTGTGGGCTTGGTTTTGTTTTAGAATCATCTTTCCTTATCACAAGCTTCTCCTTAGTAGATAGAAGAGTTACTTAAAAAGTCTGTTTTTTTTGATGTCTTTGTTTGAGGTCTTAATTCCATGGTGACATATTGCATTAGATCTTGGTTATAACTTTATTCACGTTATCAAGTGTTATCAGCTGAAGCCACACCCAGCTAGCTGTTAATAGTTGACTACATTGGCCCCTGTGAGCTGAAGTAGCAGGTAATAAAAACGTATCATGTCACCCAGAAAGATGTAGTCAGGAAGGTGGCATTGCAGGGGACAGTGAGCTCCCTCCAAGTGCAAACAGAGTGGCTCTTTTAGTATCCAGCCACGGCACATACTGGACCTAAGAACTATGTAAAGGCTACTGAAAGGTGGCTTCTTATGGGAGGACCCCAGGACACTGCAAGGTTGTCAAGCATGAGATCATACCCTGGCTTGCCCTTCATTTGATACATGACCTTGGACAAGTATCTGAGCCCCCCTTTCCTCCTCCAGTCTTCATTACAGATCAATGAGATCATGCCTGGAATAGACCAGAGCCACAAGGTGAGAGCGCTCCCCTCCCGGCTCTTCTCCATTTCTCCAACTTGTAAAATTGTGATAAATGAGGAGTACACGAAAACACAAGAAAAAGATAGAAGGCCAGTAAAGATATTTCCTCTTCAGTTTATTCTTCCCTCGGTTGTTTAGGATGCCGACTGGCTGTTTTTTTAGTGTGACAGGAAGTAAAAGGTAAAGACATAGAAAGAGAAGGCTGTACGGTGGCAGGGGGGGATGGGGCCCTGGCCACCCCCGGGTACCTGTGAGCTTCAGGGGAACCCCACTCTGTAGGTGATGGGCTGTCCACAAGATTTCAAGACACCATTGCTGACTCACCAGTTTTAGGGGTGTTCTTGTGACCTACCCCAACACAGCTCTCACCTAGGGCGCAGGGAGACTGAAGTTGGAGGCGGATACACCAGATGTCCCTCTGAACCAGGATGAGTCACAGTGCCTGAGAGCCAGGGTCAGGTAGGAAAAGGTTTGGAAGCCTCAGGAGAGTCGCACTGTGGAGGCTGGAATTGCTTGGTGTGCTTTCGTTTTAAAGTGAGCTTTCCCAGTCCTAAAACATGGGGAGCCTGAAGGGCCAGGGTTTTCAGAGGGAGAGAGGTAGATAACCAGAGGATCGTGGCCACTCACCCCAGAGCTGGCTCCTTCTAAGCCCCCAGTGGACTGCTCCTTAGGCTTATGGATCCGTAAAGAGCAAAATGGGAGGTGGGAGGTCGCTGGTCATGTCCTCCTGGTGCCTGACCTGGGAGTAGAGATGTTGGGCGGGACAGCCATGGGACAGCCTCCCAGTGCTGAGGAAGACTGGCTTGGGTGATGACCCCAGGATGTTGCCTTTGGCCATTCTGTGCCTAAACATGGGGAGGTCACAAGGGAACCAAGTGCGGTTATTTTGGGCTTTTCTCTTTCCTTATGAGGTCTTGTGCTGGGTACTTCTTTTAATTCCCTCCCGAGGTGCCCTCAGAACAGCAGTCCTAACGCAGACGTGCTTCCTTCTCACAGACCCAAATCTGCAAGTTCAGAGTGAGTCCTCTGGCCCTTTCTTCTGGGAGGTGCAGGTTGAATATCCCTTATCCCAAATCCTGGGTCCCAGAAAAGTTTTGGATTCTCTAGAATTTCTGGATATTTGCATATACATAATACCATGCCACCCAGTCTAAATATGAACTTTGTTTCTCCAGACGGCCTGAAGGTACTTGTATATAATATTTTCAATCCTGTACATAAAGTAGTTGATTTTGTGTACTTTGGACCAGAAATCAGGGATGGGGTTTTCCACTCGTGACATCATGTTGGTGCTCAAGGTTTCAGACTTTGGAGCACTTCAGATTTTGGATTTCCAGACTGGGTTGCTCAACCTGTATTACAGGATGTTCACATGAATTTACAGTCTGGGGAGAGGAAGTTTGCAGGTAAGATTCGGTGGGAAAGGAAGTTCAGATTTCAAAAAATGTACAACTGGCGTTTGTGTAAGTTGTGACTCCAGTGGCCCTTGTGCCTCTTACACTGACTCAGTTATTCTGAAATGTTGTCCAGGAGCCTTTAATTTCTCTGAAGTCAGAATACATCCAGCTGACCTAGACAACCTGGTACAGACCTGCCTTTTCTTGTCCAGGATTGTGCTTCCTTTACTGAGCACATCACTGAGCATCTGCTGTGAGCTGGACCCTTTACTGGGGTGCTCTCCTATGCTGGAGTATCCATCATGCAGTGGAGAGGACTAGCAACCTCCTCGAAAAGAAACAGATGGCTGAAATGACCGTGCGTTTGGTTAATAGCATTGTCTAATGCTCTGATAACATGGTGACAATTTTTAGTTGCCTGTGAAAGAAATTAACATATTTGATTTTTTGCTTGTGTTTGTTAACATGTACCTCATCTCATAGGTTTTTAGGGATATTGCTATCAGTGGTCTAAAGTGTCCGTTTATAAACCTGTGAATTTCCTGGCTGTTGCTTGTTGGTTGAACAATTTCTGTTGCAAGTGGCAACATCCTTGTGCGGCCCTCCCCAGGAGGTCCTTCCTATTTGAACTTGGGCTTTGGTACTTCTCCAAGGGCCTCTCTTCTCATGGGGGACACTATGTGAGACTGTTCAGAATCAGTCTGCCGCTTGGGATGTGTTCGGTGCTGGAACAGCTGCACAATTACAAATGCTTCTGTCACTTGAGGGGTAGGTGCATTATCGAGGTACACAGGGTGGTCACAGGAGTCTCAAGGCTCACCTGCTCTGTCACATGGCTGTGGGACTGGAGTTTGTAAGTCCCAGTGCAGTGGCAGGAGAGACCATGGCACCAGGGAGGGTGCCAGCTTTTCTGTGTCAACTGGTGGCTTGGGGTCTGAGAACCCTATCGTGGGATGTTTGTGAAACATAAACACAGGACACTTAATGTTGGGAAAATGATCGCTTTTGTTTTCTAACCTCTGTCTCTCTGTTCTGACCCAGGTGCAACGTTAGAAGAGATAAACCAGCACTGGGACTGGCTGGAGCAGAATCTCCTCCATACTTTGTCTGTCTTTGATAATAAAGATGACATTGCCAGCTTTGTCAAAGGGAAGGTAAAGGTAGGTTCCTTGATCCTAACCTTTCTTTCCATCTTGCTGGCAACTCTGTGATGTTTTGAACTCTGCAGTGTACCCACAGTTTTCACCAGTCTAAGTACACTTTTTGGCTTAATGCAGAAAGCCAAATTAGTTTAATTTGTCACCTGTCAGTCTTTGCAGTCCAGAAAAATACACCTGAAATTAAAAAACAAACTTCATTCTTGGATCTAGTTCCTGTTATCCTTTACAGATGTAAAGGTCCTTTTTGTTCTTGGCGGGGCGGGGGAATCCCATAAAGTTAAGATTTCTGTTTTTACAGAGCAACACGTTATTTTCTTCTCGAATTAGTTATTCCTGACTTTTTTGCAGCTGTACCATTCGTCACCATGTTGGACCTAGTGCTTCCTCCTGCTAATGGTGAATATTTGTTCTTCCGATGTTAATTAAATGGAATTAAAGCCAATTAAGCTTCAAGAAGGCATGAGAGGAATATTGGGGAGGTATTTGAATATAACTCCTGCCAGTTATATTCTTATAGAACCCATCTTGCTACAGGAACATGATGGGTAATTGGTGCTTTAAGATCCTATTGGGCAGGGAGACGGTTCCTCATTCTCAAGTTCACTCTCATTACACATCTGAACACATAATCCCGCAGTACAGTCTTCTTCCCTTGGGATGAAAGGGCCCAAATACTCTGCCTTTCCTCCCTTTTCCTGTCCCTCCTTCCTCCCCTTCAGTCCCTTTCCTCTTTTCAGCTGATCCCCAAATGTGGAATGAAACCAGCAAAATTGTGCTGTCTACATAAATGAGTATGCCACAGTGAGTCCCACCTTTATGTATATCTATAAAGCATCCATTTAAAAAAACAATAAATAGGAGGAAGACCTGTAAAGTAGAAAGCACTGGGGACTGAATGGAGCACATTCTATTCCATGTATTTACGATTATGCCAGAATTAACCCCACTACTGTGTATAACTGGAATGCAATAATAAAAACATTTAAAAATCCCAGACAGTGGATTTGTTTTCCTCAAAACAAAACTTAAGAGTTACAGCTTTTAGTAAAGGGTGTCAAAGCGAATTTTTTATTTTAAAGGAAAAGGGGACTGGGATGTTTTCAGGACCAGAGAAGAACAGAGGTGACCCAGGCAGCCAGGGCTTTGCATCCAGGACATGACCCCTGGCCTGTGGGTAAGAGCGGGCCTGGGCCATGGTGTAAGACACACACGGCTCTCGGGTCACTCCTCATCCAGGCCTTGATGGACTGTGGCTCAGTGTCCTGTGTCAGATGGCACAGAGCATTAGCAACACTTAACCTGCCTAACACTTAACCTTGGTCTAACGTGGACTGTCGTGGTTTTTTGATTTAGATATTTCCCTTAATTGGGAGGAAGGAAATTCATTTCTGATACACTGATTTTTGAAACCCTTCTGTAAAAGAAGAAAAGTGTTCCACTAACCTCCTAGGTTCTGTGGCTGAGGCCCTGGAAATGACACTGACAAAAGACAGATTAATAAGAGAAAAACAGTTAATTTTGTGCATGTAGAGTAAATACTCATGGCAGAAACTCTGCAAGAGTAACTCAGAAGGGGGATTGGAATCTGACCTTGCACAGCATCTTAAGGAAAAACAACAAATTGGCAGAGGAATGATGGGACAGGAAAGGGGGTTCAGGCTTCTGGGGTGGCACAGTGTGAGAAAGGTAAGCATACCGAGAGAAACGAATGGAAGGTCAGGGCGTCTTTGAGAAGCTGTGTGAGTCCTTGATGGTGCTGAGATCTAGAGGTCGGAGTTGTCTCCCGGAGGCAGAGGCGGAAACACCTGTGGAGACAGAGATTCCCTCCTGGTTTGGGGCACTAGGGGAAGGCAGAGAGGCTTTTTGGTACCTAGTCTTTTGGGTTTATCACTTATCTTCAGCTCAAAATAATCCTTATGCTAAAGTGGCATATTTGGGGGTGACAATATTGATCCATGACACCTCAAATCTAATATTCCTTAAAAGAAAGAAAGGAAAGAAAGAAAATCGGAGGAGGTGGTGCTGGGGGACGTCTAAGAGTACAGCTTAGTATTTGCTCCCTCCTCTCCTTTGGCCAAATGCAAAGGATCTGAGGTTTGGGGCTTTCCTGCCCATATCCTGGACACTTGGCTGCTCCAAAAACTTGAAAAAATCCCTTCTGCTTCAAGCTGTACCTGTGACCAGACACTGCAGCCCATGAAGGTTGGGAGGTCGCATGGCCACCATCCTGGCTGTGTCTGGAGCCTCTGGATCCTGTTCTCAGCCAGGCCTGTTGCTCTAAAGCCTAATAAGTCATGAAGAAAACCATCAATCTCACCAGCCCTTAGGTTTATTTTAAAAGTCATTTAAAATTAGATTATTTTAATGTTATGCCCGAGTTTAATTTCTAAAATAGCTTATACAGTGAGGATTTGGAGCACCCCCACCCCCCGAAAAGCAGCCTCATCTTAAGGAACATAGACTCTCATAGACAGTCCTATAAAACAAAAATGAAAACATTAATTTAAAAAAAAGGGCAGGTAACCACAGATTGTCACCCATTATAAACAGGCCACAGATCTACCACCACCGCAGATCACGAAGGCCCTTCTTATTAGTGGTTATTGGCAAAACAATTGTCGTGTCAGAGTCCTTGTGCCCTCTGCTGTCTCCTGCACACCCAGGGCTCGGGAAGTTCTGGCCTCTGGAAGCTGGGCCACGGTCCCCCACTCTGCCTTCACAAACTGTAGACTGTGCAGTGGCAGTGCCGTGCATTAGGCTTTGCAGAATCCTCCAGTCAGCGTTTTGCCAACCTCCTTGAGCTTAATGAAGACCTTTGTCAGTGTTTTAAAAAGCCTAATTCTTATCTCCCATTTGGGTTATTCTTCAGGGTTGATGTGAGTTCACACACCAGAACCCATCGCTGGGTCCTTGTTAGGCAGCTTTCCCTCATGTAACAAATGCCTGAGAAAATCGGCTTAGGAAAGGTTCAAATAGGCTCACAGTTTTGGAGGTTCCAGTCCATGATTGGTTGGCCCAGTTGCTTTTGGGCCTGTGGCAGGACAGCACACCATGGCAGGGGCTTATGGCACAGCAAAACTGTCCACCTCATGGTGAGCCAGGGAGCAGAGAGAGGAAGGGACTGGGGTCCCGCTGTCCCCTTCAAGGGTAAGACCCCAGTGACCCAAGGACCCCACCTTATAGGACCCCACCTTATAAGGCTTCACCAATACACCAGCCTGGCAAATGAGCCTTTAACACCTGGGCCTTTGGGAGACTTTGAAGATCCAGACTGTAGCATCAGTGTAGGGAGGATTTGGAAAATAGTTTCAGAATTGAAATTCTCAAACTCTTAGAAGTCAACTGATTCAGCCCCAGCTTCATGGACAGTAAGTGGCAGAGTGAGAGTCTTGTCCTTGGGTTTTGTAACCTCATGATGGTTAATGGATCCCTGCTGCTTTTTTCTGGCGGAGGTTCTTTCTGGGTAGTGGACAGGGGTGGGTGTCATGGAACTGGCACAGATGCCTCAAGTGCCTGGGTGCATCCACCCTTCGTCTTCCTGTCCTTTCCCCTCTCTTCCTTCCCTTTGCCCAGCTCCCTGGATAAAGGCCCCCATCTTTCTGTGTCTCAGGCTCTGATTGCTGAGGAGACCAGCAGCAGGCTTGCTGAGCAGGAGGAGGAGCCTGAGAAGTTCCGAGAAGCCCTGGTGAAGTTCGAGGCCAGGTTCAACTTCCCCGAGGCAGAGAAGCTGGTCACCTACTACTCTTGCTGCTGCTGGAAGGGCCGGGTGCCCCGCCAAGGCTGGCTGTACCTCAGCATCAACCACCTCTGCTTCTACTCCTTCTTCCTGGGCAAGGAACGTAAGTGAGGCCCGTCCCGGCATCTGCAGCGATTTCGTCCTTCAAGATAAACTTGGCCCTGGGGATGCTTGGCATGGCTCCCCAGAGAAGCCATTAAAGGACACATTCACAACAAAAGATTTAAGTGGATGGTTGAGATGACAGCAGGTGATACTGGATTAATTTCCAAATGACTTGTGCAGATAATTGAGTTTAATTATACATGCTGCAACTGGGGAGCTTGATTTTTGAGACAATTCATTTTTCAGCTGCCTTTGGAAGCCTATCTTTGTAGCTTACTTTAAATAGCTACAGAAGGGCTTTTACTAACATCGATCACGTGGAAAATACAGTATCATATCTGATGGCTGAGTATTTCTAAAAGAATAGAAAGTATTCTTGCATCTTTTTTTTAATAGTTGTAGATGGACACAATACCTTTATTTTATTTATTTATCTTTACATGGTGCTGAGGATTGAATATATGCTAGGCATGCGCTCTGCCACTGACCTACAGCCCCAGCCCTATTCCTCCTTCTTACTGCAGAAGGACATCTTTTAAAATTTGCAGCCTTGAACATTATAACTGCTGGAAATATAGTCACAGAATTGTTTACCTGGGTGACCTGAGAACCAGAAAGAATTGATGGACATTTCACCTGTTTAGCTAGCAATATCTTAGGTGACAGCATTCCCACAGGGAAAAGCTAAGCCACATGTGTCAGTTGTGCGTTCAAGGCTTAAAAAGCCATTGCCATGGAAACTGCTTTCAGAGCCAGGTGTTTCCCGTGCCTGTGCTGGGGGGACAGATGCTGCACACACACGTGGCACCAGAGGGAGGCCTCCTCTGAATGTCTGCTGAGGCCAGCTTCCTGCGCGTGCTGTTTTCTCTTTCTGTCCCACCAGCCTTGGTTCGGATGCTTGGGACCCCACCCCATGTGCACAGTCCTTTCCTGACCTTGCTTGCAGTGGGCTCTGGCCTAACCTTGGCCATCCTTATTTTGTTCTTTCTGAAATGCTTTTCAAAATGAACTCCCTGCTTCTCCCTGTCTTCAAACTCAGCCCATTTGGAAACTCCTGTTTGTCTTCAAAACCCAGTTCAGCTTGGCCCCTCTATGATGCCTTCCTTGGGCCCCACATAAATGACACCATATCTGTGTTTCTCTGCTGGGTTCCATCAGGTTGGTGGTTGCTTGTTTGTAGGTTGGTTTCTCCTGCTGGTGAAACCAACAGGAGAATGCCAGGCTCTTCACCAAGCCGTCACATAATGAGCTGACGTTGACAGCGCAGAGGCCGTGAGTGCAGGTGTGAGACCAGAAAGAGCTGGGAAAGCGTATTCTCAGACCCAATATAGAAATGAGGCCGTTTAAAATTCTAAAAGCACTGAAAATGGTGCTGCTAAATAAATGGAGAGAAATGTTAGAAATATGACATTCCTTCCCACTTTGACTTGAAAAGGAAATGAATTATTTTTGGACACTAATGATTGTCACTAAACCTAATTATGTTAGGATGATGATATTTGGAAAAAATTAATGAATTCTAATATTTACTCATGTTTTCCAACTTAGTTCTCTCTCTTTGACGAGCCTGCTATCAGATGCAAGACTTTATCTTCTCCCCCTTTCCTCTGTGTTAGCCCACTACCCATTACTTTATCAAAAACAGTTCTGGGAATAGAATATTTAAGAATGTATTATCTGGGGGCTGGGTTCTAGCTCAGTGGTGACGCACTTGCCTCATATGTATGAGGCCCTGGGTTTGACCCTCAGCACCACATAAAAAATAAATGAATAGATAATAAAGGTACTGTGTCCATCTACAACTAAAAATATTTAAAATTGTATTACCTGTACAATATTACTTTATTATTATTTGTAGATCTGAGGATTGAACCCAGGGCTCTCGACTATTGAGCCCCCCTTTTAAAAAAAAAGTTGTTTTTTTGTTTTGTTTTGTTTTGTTTTGTTTTTGAGACAGGGTCTTGCTAATTTGCCTCAAACTTGGGATCCTCTGCCTCCCGTGTCCCTGGGATTAAAGGTGTGTGCCACGGCACCTGGCTAATTTTCTGGCAGTGCTGGGAATCAAACCCAAGGGCTTCACACATGCTAGGCAAGCGCTCTAGTACTGAGCCACATTCCAGCACCTACTTTCTTTTTCTTAAAAGATAGTCTTTCTTTGTTGCCCAAACTCTTTGGCTGGCCTCAAATTCCTGGGCTCAAGCCGCCCACCTGCCTCAGGATCCTGGGTAGCTGGCAGGTACACACGCTATGCCTGACTGTGCTGTATTACTTTAGAATTTTATAAAAACTGCTTGTACTGTCTTCACAGCACAACAAAAGTCATCTGACACAGACTACATGTTCAGCCTGTTTCTGTAAAGGAGATCATGAATAATCCTTTTTTACACTCCTTTGTCCTATATCTTGATCTGTGAGTGCTGCTTTGAAATTAGAGTTTGTGCTGAGAAACTTTTGCATGACTGTTTAAATATATTTGAAGATGCATGCTGTTGGTATCCCAAAATGTTGTTCCTTGAAAGTACGCAGGAGCCGGCAATCTGGTAGAGTTCACTTCATTTTTAAGAAAACCATTGGCCTGTGGGCTGGGTTTCCACCAGCAGCTGTCAGGCAGTTCTGTGCTCCTCTCCCCTGTGCTGACTTTGAAGACATTTGCAATTTAGCTTCAATGAAAAAATAAGACTTTGGCTTGGTACTTGCCGACGCATTCCAGTTTGGCTCAAATTTTATGGTGCAATCTGAATTTGCATCTTTTCTCTTCCAGTTAAACTTGTCATCCCTTGGGTCGATATCCAGAAATTGGAAAGGACATCCAATGTCTTTCTGACGGACACCATCCGAATCACCACGCAGAATAAGGAGCGCGACTTCTCCATGTTTCTGAACCTGGATGAGGTCTTTAAGATCATGGAGCAGCTGGCAGATAGGACACCCCAATGGCTGCTGGGTAATGAAGTCTTTCACCTGGACCATGATCTGCAGGAGCCAAGCCAGATCACCAAGAGGTACAGCTTCAGTCCCATGGTGTCCTTCAACTGCGTGGCCTTTTCATGTGCTTTGGTTGGCCTAGGTTTTGAGGTCTTTACCCTGTGTCCCCAGGGCATTGGTTCCAAGCCTCTGTGGATGCTCAAGTTTCTTTGATAAAATGGCAAATGGCATAGTATTCGCATTGGAATTTTTTTTTTTTTTTTTTTTTTTTTTTTTTTTGTGGTGCTGGGGATTGAACCCAGGCCCCTGGGTTGGCAAGGGCTGAACCACTGAGCTACACCACAGCCCTCATCTTTTCGTATTAAATCACTTGAAATTATTTTGATACTTTTGTCATCAATAGAATAAGCCAGTATTCTTTACAATTTGACCCAGGTCAACACCAGTCCTGGAGATTCTTAGGGTAGTTGCTTACCATGTCACTTTAAGGAATTCAGCTTTATCTTCAGAAGTTCAAAACATGATGTTTGAGCTGGACATTGATTTCAGGTTTGTGGATCATAATTGGGTAACTAACTGCAGTACTGATATCAAGGTGAACTGTTATGAAAGATCCTTAGAGAAATGAGCAACCATAGAGTGCTGTTCTGGCTAAAGTTTTTTGATATAGTTACAGAATCACTACTGATCTGAGACTGCTAGTCATTATAATGGAAACATCATCATTTTCAGGTTGCAGTTCAGTGCCATTAGGTACGTTCGCACTGGCACATGACCTTTCTCACTGCCCATTCCAGAGCTCTTCTTACTTGGTAAAACTAAAACTCTACCTACTGGACACTAACTGCCTGCTCACCCTTTCCCAGCCCCTGATGACTCTCATTCCTACTGTCTGTGAAATCGACTGGATCTCTCGCACAAGTAGACAGCATTCATCTTTTTCCTTGGGCTTATTTCACTTAATATAATGTCTTCAAGGTTCATCTCTGTCATAGCATGTGTCTGAATTTCTTTCCTTTCCAGGGCTGAAGAATAATCCATTGTACGTGTTCACCGTATCGTGTTGATCCCCTCATCTGCGCGTGCACACTTAGGTTGCTTTTGCTTCTTGACTGCTGGGAATGATGCTGCAGAGAGCGTGGGCATGGCACTAATCTCTCTGACACCTGCTTTCAATACTCTGGAGTATTTTTTTTACACAGAAGTGGAATTGACAGATCAAGTATTTCTATTTTTAATTTTTAAAGAAACGTTAGTCATTTACTTTACAAAATGTTTATCTGTTTTAACATTCCTGCCCCCCCCACCTTTTTTTTAATTGACGTCTCTTGAAACTATTCCAGGAGATGAGGAAAACATGGCTATATTGCTTCTGCTTGTGAGGTGGCTCAGTCCTACAGCATCTGAGAGTCTTTGCAGGGCCATCAGCAGAATCTCGTGATTTTTCTGAGCTGCATTACGTGGGCTAGATGACATGATGACAGATCGAGCATCCCTAATCTGAAAATTTGAAATGTTCTGGAATCTAATTTTGGAGCATTTTTTTATTTCGATTTTTGAATTGGGGATACTCAACTGGTAAAATCTACCTAAATCTTGTAAAATCTGAAAAACTCTGAAATTTGAAACTCTCCTGGTCCCAAGCATTTTGAATAAGCTCGACTCAACCTGCAGTTCATTCAAAGCTGTAAGGTCTAGTGTCTAGTGTTAATGCAAAGAATCACTTAAAAAACAGAAGATCTCTTGTTCCCTAAACACATGCACTTTCTTCGGAATGTGGCGGAAGAGGGGTACGTCTTCCTAATTAGTGGTCCATGAACGGCAGCCATGCTTAGCGTTTAGTGTATTCAGAAAGATCTCAGATCCCTTCCAGCTCTGCATGTTTATTTCAAACTGATCATGTGTTGCCCCAAGGGAGCAAAAAGAAAAAAAAAATGAAATGTTCTTGGTGGATTTCTTTTTGTTTTTTCAAAATTGGTAAGATTCCAATGAATTCCACATGGTTTGGGGTCACCTCTGATGGTGTGACAGTTCTTTTGAAAGATGGAGTGGTTCTTGGTGTCATTTCCTTATGAAAGAGACTCTTGGTGCTCTGGCCTTTATTTTTATTCCTAATCCCAAGGGCTCATGTCCCTCTTGGCTCCAGGACCCCTAATATGGTCTACATCTGAGACAACCCAGTATGGTGGCAGCCACACTGTCCTGTGTGTTTTCCTGTGTCCCTGAGATAGTTGGTATCTAGGTCCTTTGACTCCAGCTGACAAAGCTCTGTTAAAAATGAAAAGGCACACACATAAGCAGCCTGAGGAATCGGGTTTGGGGTGTACGCATAATGAGGCTCACACCCACCGCTAGTTAAAGCCTGATCCTTTCCTGGGCTAGTGTCAAGCGTGGGAGGCCAGCTGTCAGCTGATGGCCAGTGTGTGCTGGTGACCCCACAGGCAGCAGGATTCAGGTGATGTCCTCGCCATTGTTGAAGCTCCACTTAAGGTGTGGCATTTTGGGTTTGGGGCAAAGTGAGGAAAAAAAGGGGAAGAAGGACGGTCTGTAGCACTTCACTCCCTTCTGACAAATCACATGTTTTGGAAGGAAGATAATCGGCGCCGGCAGTCTTCATTCTTGTTGCAGAACTCAGGGTAATTCCACAAGGCTGCCCCAACCTCCCCCTACTTTCTACTCTGGGTTCTGTTAGAGAAAAGGACACAAAGGTTCTTGGAGTGGCCAGTGGTTGAGCTTCCCATGCCCACGGGTACCCAGGGCTGACCCTGGGGCTCAGAGTGGGATTCTGGCCCCCAGCTGTCAACTCCCGGGTCAGTGACTTCCTCCCAAAGCAGAGCCCCATGCTGGTTCTCTTCTGCAGCCTTTGTCATGGCGACGCTGGTTTAAACAGGTAATGACAGTCCATGTGGCCTCCTGACAGGAGAGCCCAGGTCTCCAAGTTTAGGAAAACAAGCTCTTCGTTGTGCTCAGGGTACAGCAGACATGCTGGAATGCCCCCCAGGCCCTCTGTGGCTGGTCCCCTTTCACTTCCTGTCCCAGATAACAGCTTTCAAATAGTGCCCGTGGGGCCACGGACTAGATAAGGCAGCATCTGATGTCCCATCAGTCACCATTGTCCCTTGGTCACTCCAGTGGGATTTATGGACCAGGACAGAGCATGCTGCCTACCTGCAGGGCATTGGGAGCATGAGCTGGTATCGCGGTCCTGGGATGGGACAAGGGAGAGCTGCAGGCTCAGGGCTCATCCACTGCTCACAGTACAAAGTGATCTGGCCCCGGGCTTCTCAGGTTGTCATCCCAGAGCACAGGGGGCAGAGTGACCGAGGGGAGGGGTTGGGGAATAAGTGGATTGATCCTGTTGTTTCTAAACAAAAATATCCTGAAGCTGGAATCGCGGGTGTAATGAGAGGAGGTGGTGGAGGTGATAGTCTTCCTAAATCTGATTTCATCTGTTCAGACTGGCTGGAAATGCTGGAGGAAACTCAGTGTAGTGAGTGGAAACTTTCCCACAGTAAACCTTCTCTCTGTCGGTGTGTAAGGCGGGCAGTGGCCACCAGGGGTGAGTGTCCTCAACAGTGCACCCTCGTCCCTGGCTGTCAGATTTCGCACCCCACTTTAGTCTTCCCCCGCCTGCCCATCCCCTTTCCTGCCAGTCCCCTTGGGCCCCCACCAGGCATGTCCTCTTCTGTCTGGCCTTTGTGAACATGAGCAGTAAGACATCTCTGGGGCCCCTGAGCCCTGCCAGCCCCACCTCTCAGGGGAAGACCGCATCCCCCCACCACAGCTCTGAAGCTGCAGGGGGTCTGCTCAGGTTATTGTCTCTGGGGCAGGATGGCTGGAAGATCATGAAGACGGAACTTTTCTCTGGAATGAGAAGGGTGTATGGATTCTGTGTAGTCAGCTTTGGGTCCCTGTGACCAAAATGCCTAACAAGAGCAGCTTAGGGGAGGAATAGTGTACCTGGGGCTCATGATTTCAGAAGTGTCAGTGCATAGATGGCCAAGTCCATTGCTCTGGGCCTAAGGTGAGGCAGCACATCATGGCGAAAGGGTGTCATGGAGAAGGACTGCTCCGTTGTTAGCACGTGGGAAGCATGGCCAGATGGAAGAGGCCATGCCTAGTGGGAGACAAAGGAGAATGGCAGGAAGGTGGGAAGGGGACACAGGGAACATGTACCCTTCCAGGGCAGCCCAAAGTCACCCACCTCTTCCAGCCAGGCCCCGCCTGCCCACATTTACCACCCAGTTAGTCCATTCAAAGTAGGAGGGGCTGAATAGGTCACAGCTGTCACAATCTAATCATCTCACCTCTGAATGTTCCTGCATTGACAGGAGATTTGGAGGGGGGGACACCTCATATCTAGACCACAGCAGATGCCCTATGATGTCAAGGTCCTGGTCTCTTCAAGATGTAGATGGGATTTCCAAAGTAATTGAGGGGGCTCTGGTGTCCTTGGAGGTCACCTTCACATGGCACCCATTGTCTGAGGGTAGGTGAGCACTGTGTCCCATCCTGCAAGTGGTCCTGGGCTCCCCACCGTGTGCTATACAAGGGGGCACATGGCAGCAGCATCCTGCCATCTGCCATCACAGGAAAGACGTTTCGAGCCACACACATTTGATAAATGAGACTCTTTTGTGCCGACTAGGACTCTGAGGAACACCACGTGTGGCTGGGCTTTCTGCCCGTTTCTGGATTGCTTATCCTTGGCATTTCCCAGGGTTCAAGTGCACAGTGCATGAATTTGGGGTGGGTACATAACTAAGAGCCGCTGGAAGAACCTCTGTGTGTCCCGTAGGAAGCAGGCTGACCTCAGAGGACCTCTGGCCCTCCCTTATTCCAGAAGGGCAGGGGTGGTGGCTCAGCTATCTCATCTAGTGTGCACATGGGAAATACTTAAATGCTGATCTAACAGGGGAGGTGACCTGCCCCAGCCTGCAGCACAGCCTGAGTTCTGGGAAGCATTTGGCCTCCATGCAGCCTTAAGCAGACATACAGCAGGCTCATGTATGTGCACCGAGCCCAGAGATGAAATGAGAGTTGGCATGTAAGACCCAGATGGAGTTCTTCCTAAATGCATTCTTTAAGGTTGATGAGAGAAGAGAAAGGAAACCTGTTTTCTATTCATGTTTACCTAGACCATTAGGGACAAATTGTCTGGATTTGTAGAAAAACAAGTGAATTATCTGCCTCTAAGTTTATTGGGTCTGAAGTCTTAGAAATTAAACTTGGGGTTTTGAAAGGTATTCATAGTAGTCTAGAACTTCCTGCATAATTGTCAAATGAGATTATATGTATTAATTTTAGCATCAACAAACTTGCAGTTGTTTCTTCACATTCTGATCATCACTTTTTTTGGGGGGGGGGGTACTGGGGATTGAACTCAGGGACACTCGACCACTGAGCCACATCCCCAGCCCTATTTTGGATTTTATTTATTTTATTTTATTTATTTACAGGGTCTCACTGAGTTGCTTAGCGCCTCACTTTTGCTGAGGCTGACTTTGAACTTGTGATCCTCCTGTCTCAGCCTCCTGAGCCACTGAGATTACAGGCTCATCTAGTGGTGTGTGCTAAGTCAGAGTGGTTTGTGGCACCTTCTAGTGCTAGTTTCAGCTGAAGCTCTCCTGGTGTGACAGCTTTGTCCTGTGCACACAGCAGCCCTGCAGGCACCAGGCTACAGCTGCTCTTTCCTCCTGGGGGTGCCTCTGCTGTCAGCTCCACCTTCTCAGTGTTGGGACGTGGGCTGGTCTATGGAGGAGAAGCAGAGGCTGTAAGTACAGAAGGTCTGAGAGGCAAGTTGGGGCTAGTGAGCTTGGGTTTCAGAAAAGGGAATTGATACATTCAGCATCAAAACTACCACCTGCCTGGGAACTGAAAGGGTGGTCTCTGGTCTCCACGAAGAGCTGCTTTCTCACCAGGTCACTGTTTCACTTCACTTGTGCTAGAAATGTCACTATGTGCCTCCCACATGCTTAGTAAGTGGCAGCAGACTGCCTTCTACAGAAAGGGGAAGAAAGCGGGTCGTAAGTTCTTCTTCTGCTTTCTTTTTTGTATTGGAGGTTTCTGGTCTCTGGTTACCAAATGTGCTCAGAGGGACCGTGGACACTGGGTGTGTAGAACACCCAGCTGCCCCGAGGACAAGAGAGGCCAGGAACCAAGCTGGTGGCTGAGGAGGCAGGGGCACTGGAAAGGAAGCTGCCGTCCTCAGGAGGCCCCTCGCTCTTCACTTCAGGACTCGGGCGGCAACAGATAGGAGCCCTCCTGCCCTCTAGCTCAGGACTTCCTCGTGTGCCACTTCACTGGGTATGCTCCACCGTCTCCTGAGGGGAAAGGGAACTGTCCCCCGAGGGAGGAATCCATTGGTGCCAGAAGCACTACAGACGTGTGAAGGAGTGCCTCCACTGTACTTCCCTTAAAGCCATGTGGCCAGCATGTTTTGGGGACCACATAAACAAATTTAAATGATCCAATTCACTTTATTTGGATTATTTAAATTTATTTTAAATGGATACATAAAAACATAAGAATTGTACGTGTGTACACGAAATCCTCTGGTGTTTGAATGCTTCTATACATTGTGTGAAGTTTAAATCAGGCCAAACATAACTTTCTCCTCAAACATCATTTCTTTAGGGTGAAAAAAAATCAGAATCTTTTCGTCTAGCTTTTGAAGTGCACGGCGTGGGGTTGGTACCTCTGGTCCGCCTCTCTGCCCCCGCACACCTGAACTTCCTGCCCCTTCTCTGACTGGAACCACTGGTCAGCCTCTCCCCAGGCCCTGTTTCCACCGTTCTACCCTCGCCTGCCGTGAGGGCAGCTGTTTCAGATTTACATGTAAATGTGTTGGATGTGATGGCTCTCAGGGACTTAGGGTCATCCTGAGGGACCTCGCCTTCTGTTCTTGCAGCGTGTGAACTTCTGCGGTGCACGTGGCTTCCTCACGCTCCCTGGTGCTCCTCTGGAGAAAAGGAAGGCTCCATATTTTTTTTAATTGCAATGTGTGATTTATTGATTTTTATTTATATATGACAGTGGAATGCATTACAGTTCTTATGACACAAATAGAGCACAATTTTTCATATCTCTGGTTGTATACAAAGTATATTCACACCAATTCGTGTCTTCATACCTGTACTCTGGATAAAAATGATCATCGCATTCAACCATCATTAATAATCCCATGCCCCTCCCTTCCCCCTCCAATCCCTCTGCCCTATCTAGAGTTCCTCTGTTCCTCCCATGCTCCCCCTCCCTACCCCACTATGAATCAGCCTCCTTATATCAGAGAAAACATTTGGCATTTGGTTTTTTGGGATTGGCTAACTTCACTTAGCATTATCTTCTCTAACTCCATCCACTTACCTGCAAATGCTATGATTCTATTCTCGTTTTTGCTGAGTAATATTCCATTGTGTATATATATATACCACATTTTTTTATCCAGTCATCGGCTCCATTTTTGACAGTCACATATGAACAATTAGCCCTTTTGGAGGGTGCTGTTCAGGTTTTTACAGTATCCAGGGGACCCTGTACTCACCACCACAGCAATGTGACATTTTCTTACCCCCTAAAGAAGCCTCATGTTCATGAGCACCCACTCCTTATTTTCCTTTCTGTCGACTCCTGTGTTGACATTTCCTATAAATGGAATCCGGCAACACGTGGTCTTTCTGTGTCTGACTTCTTTCCTTCAGCCTAAGGTTCCCTCGCTCCTTCCATTCATTCTTTCTGTGATGGCTGAGTAATATCGACCCTGTTTCAGGGGAGGTACCACATTTTATTTATCCATTCATCAGCGGGTGGACATTTGGGTAGTTTCCACCTTTTGGCTGTGAATAATGCTGCTGTGAATATTTGGGTGCAATTCGTGGACGTAAGTTCTCGGTTCTGTTAGGCGTGCCCACCCGGGAGGGGATTTCCAGGTGGGCAGGGAGTCCACTCTGGCCTCTGTGGGTTCTGGCTGTCTGCCAGGGTGCATGCATCATGGGAGCGCTCCAGTTTCCCCGCCTCTTCACCGACACCTGTTACACTTATCCTCTGACTTTTCCACATTTGGATTTTCTGCCGTTTTTGTGGTAATTCTCAAACCGGGAAGGAGTTCATGGAATTCTTCCTGGTGGGGACGGTGTGCCCTGCTCCTGGTACTTGCTCAGAAGGTTGGCTATGAATCTGGATGGCTGTGGGGCTGACAGGCTCTGAGGGGTGTGACATTTTTTTTTCCAGTCACTAACTGTCAAGCTGTGCCAGTGAGTTCAAAAGTGGCTTTCTTTTCAGTCTTGTTTCTGCTCACCTTTCCACCTCTTCTTGACCTCTCCCCGCCTGTCCCCAGGGACCTGGAGGCCAGAGCACAGAACGAGTTCTTCCGAGCCTTCTTCCGGCTGCCAAGAAAGGAGAAGCTGCGTGCTGTGGTGGACTGCTCCCTCTGGACGCCCTTCAGTCGCTGCCACACTGCGGGGCGGATGTTTGCCTCTGACAGCTACATCTGCTTTGCCAGCAGAGAAGATGGCTGCTGCCATGTTGTCCTTCCGCTCCGAGAGGTAGACCCTGCCTCTCACCTCTTGACCTACTGTGCACCTCTGAGGCGGCCTTTTGTCATTTGAACCCATGTCATGGAGTCTATTTTCTGTTGCTAAAACGAAAACAAAATGCTTGATGCTGGGTACGCTTACTAACCAAAAAAAAAAAAAAAAAAATTAAAAACAACAAAAAAACCTTATTTAGCCCCCAGTCCTGAGGCTCAAGAAGGTGGTGCCAGGTCAACTCCACTGAGGACCTCATGGTGAACAGTATCCCAGAGGCAGGATGATCACATGGTAAGACAGGAAATATCACGTGGTAAGACAGGAAGCCAGAAAATGGGGAGGGACCATTCTGTTATAACAGCCCCTCCTGTGGGAACTAACCAGGTCCCCTGTCCCTAGAGTTTCTTACTAGGCCTCAACTCTTAGAGGTTCCACCACCTTTTAATACTGCCCCATGGGGGACCAAGCTTTCAACACAAGAACTTTTGGGGGACACACTCAAGCCATATCACAGCCAGAGCAACTTGGGCTGTGAGATGAGGAACAGGGAGTGGGGACGTTTGCACTGTCTCACCTTCTAAAGATGGACATCTAGATGACCAGGCTTTAGGAGGGAAGAAGACCTGAATTACACCCTTACCCATTTGGCCATTGTTTTTCCTGCTGTTGCTATGGCAACCCGGAAGTTGCCTAGAAGTGATGGGGAAGAAGAGCATACTCCAACTTCCACATTATTGATGAAGCTGTTATTAAAAAGTACATGCCTAGCAATTAAAGCTTTTCCAACAGCTCTTAGGAAAGGATCCTCTTCTTTCGTTGCCAAAAAAGGAAAAAAGAAAAAGGCAAACTATAAAAGCTTCACCTTTTGAAAATACATGGCAAATTGTTTGGCTTTCATACTCTCCTGGAACTTTAGTTAAAAACTTAAAAATGCTTCCTTTTATGAGGCTCCAGTCCCTCCCATGGGGCTATGCTTCTCTTGTTGGAAATGGGAGGGTGGGCGACCTGAGTTGACTGCTACATCCAAGCCACTCAGTCCTTGGCTTCAGGCATCTCTGCTGAGATGGTACCACAGCTGTCACATCAAGACTTCTGGGTCTTGCTTCCTGTAGCATAGGTCCTGAGCCAGATTCTTTTTTTCTTTTTAAATATTTATTTTTTAGTTGTAGTTGGATACAATACCTCTATTTTGTTTATTTATTTTTATTAGTGCTGAGGATCAAACCCAGGGCCCTACACATGTGAGGCGAGCGCTCTACCGCTGAGCCACAACCCCAGCCCCTGAGCCTGATTCTTTAGAAAACGTTTTTTCCTTCATATGATTTCCCACCACCATGATATTATTATTCTGCAGTAGATGTCTTCATTTTGCAAGTATTATTTATCAGTGGAGCAAGAAATCCACAAGATGACTTCTATAGTAAAATAAATAAATAAATACTTTTGGTAACATGCATAGCATACAATTTACCTTCTAACCATTTTGTAAGTAGACTCATCCAGCATGTCACTTTGTGATTTGTTTATTCCATTACATAATGTCTTTAAGATTCATCTACCTTGGGGCTGGAGATGTGGCTCAAGCGGTAGCGCACTCGCCTGGCATGCGTGAGGCCCGGGTTCGATCCTCAGCACCACATACAAACAAAGATATTGTGTCCGCTGAAAAAACTAAAAAAAAATAAATATTAAAAAATTTTCTCTCTCTCTCTCTCTCTCTTAAAAAAAAAAAAAAAAAAGATTCATCTACCTTGTAGCATATGTTAGAATTCCCTTCTGTTTGAAGGCTGAATAATATTCCATGGTAGCCTGCACCATGGTTTGCTTATCCATTCCTCTGTCCCTGGAGGTTGGGCTGCTACCACCTTTTGGTGATTGTGACAGATGCTTCCTTGCACACTTTTAAACCTTGGCACCAGGTCCTTATTGCCATTGTTCTATCTTAGGATAATTTATGAGCACGTACATGGAGGCCTGCCTCCCTTGTTTTTGCAGTACTTCTCTGTCATTAAGACAGTTTTTTCGTCAGTGCGTTGCAATTATACATAACAGTGGGAGGCGTTGCTACCTACTGGTACAAGCACAGAATGCATGGTCAGCTTCATTCTCAGCACCTCCCCTTTGTGCGCCACTTTTTGCACCAGGTAGTGAGTATTGAGAAGATGGAGGACACCAGTCTGCTGCCCAACCCCATCATCGTCAGCATCAGGAGCAAGATGGCCTTCCAGTTCATCGAGCTCAAGGACAGAGAGAACTTGGTGGAGGGCCTGCTTGAGAGACTGAAGCAGGTCCACGCCAACCACCCTGTGCACTATGACACCTCAGCCAGTGACGAGGACATGGTAGGAGCATACAGCTTGGTGGCTTTCCCTGACGTGACAGTCCCTCTCTCACACCCCTGGAGCAATGCGCCCCAAGCACATGTGTAGAAAGGTGACCATTCGGGTGTGAGGGAGAATGTGTTGGAGATGACTGGTCTCCGGTGGCCAGGGGCATCAGTCTGGTGTCACCTTAGGTGTGCTGGGTGTCCTGCATGGGCATCACATAGGACAGGGGCTGCCGGGAGTCGCCCCACAGCTTGTAGGGTTGAGTGGGTGCACCCCGATTTGTGGGGCTGGTGGTTTGCTGCCTAGGTTGGTGTCGGGCTGGAGGGACTGTCGGGCGCCCTCCCTCCTCACAGGTTGTGGGGTGCTACCACACCCTGGGTTGGAACAGATGTCACCTGCTGAGAAAGGTTTTTCATCATCCTTATGGTGGGATGGCTGAAGAAATGGACCTGGGTCTGCCAGGGCCTCACCTTCTAGAACTTTCTTTGAAATATATTTTTTAAATGCATTTTTAATTAATACCTAATGATGGTGTATGTTTTCCTCTCCTGTTTTTTTGGCCGGACAGACGTCACCTGTGTTTTACTCTACAAGCTTGTGCAGTGGCCACAAGTTTGGGGATCTTGAAATAGTGTCCTCTCAGAGCAGTGAGGAGCATGAAGACGAGAGCTCACCTCTGCACCCCGGGCCCCTGACCTCTGTCTTCCAGCCGTCGGGCAGCCAGAGCCCCGACTCCCGCCTGGTGGGTGAGGCTGCTCTGGCTTGCTGTGCCTTGGGCACTGGTGGCTGGGCAGTGACCACGGTGGGTACGACAGCTTGAGCACCAGCTCCCGAGGAGTAGGGTAGAGAGGTGGCCGGTGGCCTGGGGCAGCACGTGCCCCTCCTCCCTCTTCTCCTCATGGGCATAAGATGCAAGGGTCCCTCGAGGGCTCAGGCAGCGGGGGGAGCCGTTCTCCCCAGGTCCTCCAGTGGCTCTGGGCTGTCTCGCTGTGTGGCTTGGGCAGCTGGCCATGCTGAGCCCATTGCTCCCTCCAGCCAGTAGCACCCATGAACTTCGCATCACAGGGTCCCACTGTGTGTCCTCGGGGACAAAGGGTCGCCTGTCCTCTAATTTTATGGACTAAAATTATTTTTGCTACATTTATAGTTTTTTCTTTATATGGAAAATGTGAGGCAAATAGACTCCAATTTGGTAAATAGACTACAAAAGGCACTTAAGAGACTAGAGCACTGGCAATGTCACAACCGTGGGGACCAGGTGGGGCTGCAGACGTCGTTATCCCAGGCGGCTTCTCCGTCACTGAGGCTCCTGTATAATCATTGTTAATTTTATTTATCCACACTGAACCTTTTCATTTGCTTTATGTATATATATTATATATATTTTGATGTATTCTACATATTTACATATCGATAAATATATTGTATATTTATGTTATATATCAATAAATATGTCAATATATAAATTATTCCTTAAATTCATAAACAATTTCCTAAGTGCAGGAAAATATTAGGCTTATGTGTTTCTCCCATTACTGGATAATGCAGATTATTAAAAGCACTTGTAAATATCTTATTTAAAAGCCCTAACCATTCCTGCCCTCTAGGGATAAAATGTTTTCAGTCATCTAGAGAAATAGTGTCTGTCTTGTTTCTGATACTGAGAGCCATCTTTTTAGGTTTCCATTTTCCTCCTGGCTGTCAGGGAGCTCAGGGCAAATTGTGACGCCTCTTGCTCCCCTGTGACCTGAACTGGCCTGTGTTATCACTTCATCATCTCAGTACCTCAGGGTTCCCGAATGTCCCCCAGTCCACCACCCTCCTGTCTGACCTGTGCTACTTTAGTATCTGGGTGGGTGTAATTTATTTATTTATTTGGTACCAGGGTTTGAACTCAGGCACTCGACCACTGAGCCACATCCCCAGCCCTGTTTTGGATTTATTTAGAGACAGAGTCGCGCTGAGTTGCTTAGGGCCTTGCTATTGCTGAGGCTGGCTTTGACCTTACAAGCCTCCCAAGCGGCTGCACCACTGTGCCCGGCTGTTTTTATTATCAGTGTTGCAGGGAGATTTTTTGTCTTTGTGTAGATGCTCCCACTGGGCTCTGGACTCTGGAGGGCCGGTGCTGGGCTGTCCATCTTGGCATCCTCTGCCGAGTTAGAGGTTCAAATGTACCTTCCCGAATACGGGTGTAGCTTCCTGCCACCCAAGATCCCCAGTAGGTAGAGGCCTTGTTTTCTCCACAAGTTGAGGATGGGCTTCTTTGTACATTTACAGGTGTTTTCTTTTCCAGTCCAGGGAACAGATCAAAATAAGCCTGTGGAGTGACCACTTTGTGGAGTACGGCAGGACCGTGTGTATGTTCCGCACAGAGAAGATCCGGAAGCTGGTAGCCATGGGGATCCCCGAGTCCCTACGCGGAAAGCTCTGGCTCCTTTTTTCAGGTAAGTGTCTTGAGGTCACATGTTGTTTTAGGAGTAGACCTGGGAACACCTCGTGTGAGCCGTGTAGGGTGGGCAGTGCCACCCATCTTGGGTCAGCCGTGTACCTGGGACCCTTCCTGGGTCAGCTGTGAGACCCAGCCGAGGCCCGAGACTCTGGGCGGCAGTGCTCTTCCACAAGGCCCAGGCAAAAGCCATCTTCTTCTGTCCTTCAAGAGCGACTTTGCAGTTCTGTCCTTAGTGCTGAGAATCTGTCAAGGAAATCTGGAGCGAAGTCGCTTTAGGACACGAACTCTGAAGTGGGCTACATAAGAGCCCGGAGCTGTCAGTGCCATGGTGTTGAATGAACCCCTCTGGGCCGTTTCTCTTCGTCCTTCCTCTGTCGAATTGTGTGGCATCCAAAGAGGCATGTCTCCCTTCTGTCCATTTCCTCCTCCTCCACCACTTGACACATATGGAGATGGCCTCCTCTGGCCTGAGGCCCCTGGGCAGCATCTGGGAGTCCATCAGGATGTTGTTGATGGGGACTTGCAGGGCAGGCATTCGTCTGCATCCGCCATGAGCAGGTCCATCCTACTGGGCAAAGCACCTGGCACCCAGGGGCAGGAGTGGGGGCTGCTGCGCCTTCAGGGTACAGCGGGGGCATGTGAGGCCCCCTCCCGAGATGACCCAGCAGGGCCCCTGGTGGTGGGCCCGGGGACCTGCCCTCTCCTCACTTGCTCTCCTGGGCTGGAGCCTTCCCTCCATCCGCCTCTTGCTAGCATCCCTACCCTGCTCGCTCTCCTCTCCTCCTGTCTCCCCTCCCCTTTCCTGCTCCAGACACCCAGATAGATTTTGGGGTCTCTGCCCACTGCGTGCCGTTGGATTGTTGGGCACACATCCGTGTCTCTGGCACTGTCTGTTGTCCTCCTTGCTGATCATCACCCCTCATGCCTCCCAGCTGGTTTCTGCAGCTGCCCACCAGAGTTGTGCCACTAAAATCTTTCCTTTTTAAAGTTACCTTTAAATTTATCTTAAATTTGATATAAGTTCTGTATAGTATATTCACTCTACAGTGGATAGCCGATGCAGTGGTTCACACCTATAATCCCAGCTATTTAGGAGGCTGAGGCATGTGATCCTCATGGATCACAAATTGGAGGCCTGCCTCAGCAAACTTAGCAAGATCCTGTCTCAAAAATGGTTGAGGTTGGGGCTGGGGTTATAGCTCAGTGGCAGAATGCTTGTCTAGCATGTATGAGGCACTGGGTTCAATCCTCAGCACCATATAAAAGAAATAAAAACTAAAAGTATTGTGTCTATTTACAACTAAAAATATTTTTAAAAAATGGTGGAGGATGCAGCTTGCCTAGCATGTATAAGGTCCCGTGTTTTGTCCCCAGCACAACACACACACAGTGTGTATATTTATAGTGGAAAAATAACAGAGGAATAAAGAAACAGTAGCATTACTTACAATCCCAGCATCTGAAGCTGCCACCTATTAATGCCCCTGCTCTGTATCCTCTGGGTCTTTAATATACCTACACAGGCACACAGTTTTCACATGGGGCTGTATTTTCAGATCTCGATATGGGGCACTGGAGCATCAGTTCATGAAGGACTATCTTCTTAGGGATGGGAGGTTTCCTTTGTGGAGGGAGGATTGCTGTAGTTCAGGGAACCGGGTGTCTGTGGCGGGTGTTGCCTATGAGCGCAGGGAATGATGGGAATCGTCAGGCCTGGGAGGATGAGGAAGGGAAGGCATTTTCACTAAACCTAGTCAGAATTTAAAACCATACACATCAGCTAAGGCAGAACTGGGTGCATTTCTGTTCCCTTTGCCCTCAGAGCCCCACCTTGCTTCCAGCCCCAGGGCCAGAGTGCAGTGGAAACCAGGGATGCCCTGGTGCAGGTGGATGAGTGGGTGGAGGAGCCCTGACACTCTGAGGAGGCCTACAGCCCTTAAAGCCACCTGCCCACCAGAGGTCTGGCCTTGGCCTTGGCCTTGGCAGTGGGCGATGGCTCAGGAGATGTTGTGCTTGCTTACCCCGCCCTGTTTTCCATCTTTGGAGGTTCCTGCAGGCAGCTTGCTGGTTTCTTTGGAATTGTGTGCTTTGCACGTGAGTGCTTAAAACTTTGTTAAATTAATTTGTGAAAATTGTGTGTGCATGCATATATATGCTCCTCTTGTTACCAAGGAGTACTGCTTATTACAAGCATTTTAATAAAGTAATTTTCTTCAAACCCAGGGCCTCGCACATGCTCTGCATGTACTACTACTGAGCCCTGCCTCCCAAGCTCCTTTAAATATTTTATTAGAGACAGGGTCTCAGTGAGTTGCTTAGGGCCTTGCTAAGTAGCTGAGGCTGGGTTTGAACTTGCGGTCCTCCTGAGTCTCTGGGATTACAGGCATGTGCCACTGCAGCTGGCCTAAAGTTTTTCAAATATGAGCTTCCCYCCCCCCCCCCCCCGCCCTCCTTACATAAGGTTCTTTTTAGAAAAGACTTCTTTTCCCCTGTTTATTTTTTGCTTTTGGACTAGGCCACATGACAGCAGTGACGACTTTGTGTGTGGTCTCAAGGTATTTTATGGCCCTCACCCAGCAGCAAGACCCCACTGGGGTCCCCCCCGCAGGTCGTCATTTCTCCTTGAAACATTGCTTCTCGCACCTCCAGATGCTGTGACGGACCTCGCCTCACACCCGGGCTACTATGGGAATCTGGTGGAGGAGTCCCTGGGACGGTGCTGCCTGGTGACCGAGGAGATAGAGCGGGACCTGCACCGCTCCCTGCCCGAGCACCCTGCCTTCCAGAACGAGACCGGAATCGCAGCCTTGAGGAGGGTCCTGACAGCCTACGCCCACCGGAACCCCAAGATTGGCTACTGCCAGGTGATGTGGGGGTGCCGGGCACAGAGGCCTTCAGTCTGTGTCTGGTCAACCAACCTGGGGCTTCGGTTCTGTTCTCAGCCATCTAGTCCTGGCAACTGTCCTGTGAAGGCACAGTCCTTGGTCCCTTCCCTGAAAGAATGTGCCCAAAAAGGGCCGAAGGAAAGCATCCGTGTCTAGTCACACTGCAGATAATCTGAGACTTTAAAATTCCTCCACTGTCCCTCCTTCCCCCTCCCCAGGGACAGGGCAGTGCCTTTTTGGGGTTTGTTTGTTTGTTTTTGGAATCAGGATTGAATCCAGGTGCACTTAACTACCGAACGACATCCCCAGACCTTTTTATTTTTTTTATTTTAGACAGGGTCTAGCTAAGTTGCTTAGGCTGGCTTTGAACTTGCACTCATCTTGCTTCAGCCTCCAGAGCTGCTGGGATTATGGGCGTGTGCCACTGTGTCAGGCAGGCCAATGCCACCTTTACAGCCCCTTCAGACCCAGCCAAGAAGAGAAGGGGCTAACGGAACTTCTAGACTTCTACAGAAATCATAGGGGTTATTTGAAATGGTCATGCAAATTGGGAAGAGATGGTCAGGGCAGATATCTTTGCTTCAGGAAATGTGAACGGGGGTAGGAGGAACACCTTGCCTTTTCCTGATTGGAAGGCTGTAGACAACAAACTCAAAAAGAAATAAATGTAAACAGCAGAAACCCAACACAAGATTGGATTAGAGAGGCTTTTGACTTTTAAAAACTTAAGATTTTAAATTTCATTTTCCTGTAAATAAGCAAAATTGATGGGTAAATGCAGTTTTATGTGTCTGTCTGAACATAGAATAGCTGGATTTGATTTAACCCCACATCACAGCTAAATCCAGCATTACCAGGTGGGGGACAGGGACCAAATGGCACCCAGTTGCTCAATTGAGTGTTTGTTGTGAAACAATGTCACACCATGGTCATTCCATGCCCCACGTGTCAGTATGGTTGGGGCACACTGGGTCTCTCCCCCTAAAATCTTTACTCTTGTGGACCATTTGGGCTCATGTGTTTGTTTGTTTGTTTGTTTTGTTTTGTTTTGTTTTTTTGTAGTGGGGATTGGACTCAGGGGCACTTTCCCACTGAGCTACATCCCCAGCTTTATTTTGTATTTTATAGAGACAGGGTCTTGCTGAGTTGCATAGCGCCTCGCTGTTGCTGAGGCTGGCTTTGAACTCGAGATCCTCCTGAGTCAGCCTCCCGAGCAACTGGAAGCATAGGCACGTGCTACTGCACCCGGTGCTCTCATGTTTTTATTTTGTTTTGTAGTGCTTGGGGGGAACCCAGGCCCTCACATATGGTAGGCAGGTGCTCTGCTACTGAGCTACACCCCCAGCCCTGGGCGGGTGGGTTTCTAATCTTGCGGCATCCCGTGACCTGTTCTGTGACAGCCTGTGCTCTGGCCTTCCACAGTCAATGAACATCCTGACCTCTGTGCTGCTGCTGTATGCCAAGGAGGAGGAGGCCTTCTGGTTGCTGGTGGCTGTATGTGAGCGGATGCTGCCTGATTACTTCAACCACCGAGTGATCGGTAAGCCATCTCCCTTCCTGCTCCTCTGGTCTGGGGAGGAAGGACAGCCTTCTGATGGTTTTAGTTTGCTTTTCTCTTATTATTCATGATTTTTAGGATATTTCTCTGTGCCTATTTGACCATTTATTGCTTTTGAGTGTTCAGCTCTTTAGCTTACCAAAAAGCAAATTGGTGGGCTGGGGTTGTGGCTCAGAGATAGAGCCTAGCATTCATGAGGCACTGGATTTGATCCTCAGCACCTTAAAATTAATTAAAGGTATTGTGTCCACCTACAACTAAAAGATAAATCTTTGTGGAAAAAAAAAGCAAATTGGTTGTTGTCTTAAGTTGCAGGAATTCTTTTTCTGGATGCAAGACTTTTGTCAGGTTTATATTTTGCAAGTGTTATCACCAAGTTTGACACTTAAATTTTCATTTTATTAGTGGTGTTTTTTATGAACAGCAGGGTTTTTGTGTTGTCTTTGCTGGAGTTCAGTTTACGGTTGTTTTTATACTTAGTATTTTTAATGTCCTAAGAAATATATTTCTTCCTATATTTTCTTCTAGCAGTTTTATAGTATTAACTTTCATAGGTCTATGACCCATTTCAAATGCATCTTTCCGTATGGTGTGAGGTAGGGGTTAGCCCCCTCCCTTTTCATATCGATATAGTTGAGCAAGCACTGTTTCTGGAAAATACTATCTTTTTACCTGTTGAAAGGTAAACTGCACTGGAGAATATTAAAATATCAAAAATTAGTGTGAGTCCTTCTCTGGACTCAGATTCTTTCTGTCGTTGTCCTGCCCATCTCATAATCACTTTAGTTTCAGGGTCATTTTGGAGAGTGTGAGCCCATGGTTTCCCTTTGCAGGGGCTCAGGTGGACCAGTCTGTCTTTGAGGAGCTCATCAAGGAGCAGCTCCCCGAGCTGGCGGAGCACATGAACGACCTCTCGGCCCTGGCTTCTGTCTCCTTGTCGTGGTTCCTGACTCTGTTCCTCAACATCATGCCTCTGGAGAGCGCGGTGAATGTCGTCGATTGCTTCTTCTACGATGGGATAAAGGCCATCTTCCAGCTGGGGCTGGCCGTTCTGGAAGCCAACGCGGAGGGGCTGTGCAGCAGCAAGGACGATGGGCAGGCCTTGATGATCCTCAGCAGGTGGGCCCTGGCCACTCCCCCTGTGGCCAGCTGGGGGTGGGGTAGGTGGCAGCTGGGACTCTGGGCGACCACAGGAGGAGCAACAGCAGGTGTGCAGCCTATGGATGCTTTCTGTTCCACTCTGCCCCGTACCTGTCACCCTGTGGTCTCTCAGAGCCAGTCCACTGTGGGGTGCTGTCCCTGGCATGGGGTAAAGGAGGCACCTTCCCTTACCCTTGTCACCAAGTGCAAATCCAGGAGGATAGGACTTTATAAATATTTTTCTCTAAGAAAATTAGTTGGACTTACAGTGGCCTTGAACAGGGCTGGGGACACCATGAAATGCTGGCCTCAGGCTTCCAACTGAAGGTTTCCGACACTTTATGTGTGCATGCTGGTGACAGTGAAATCAGGCCCAGCTCCTGGCTGATGGGCACTGTATTAGGGGTTTCTTTTCAGAACATGGGAAGCTTACAATTACACGTGTGCACAGAATTTGTGCCAAGTGCACTAGAGAGTCTCAGGACCCCAGAAACCTACCCACAGGGCCAAAGTGGACCAGCCTGGCTTTCAGCGTGTCTTTCCTTCTTTCTGAAATGACCGTGGAAGTTGCTGCCTGGCCCTCCTCCCAGGCGGTGGGCTGGCATCATCTCATGCCCCTGGGAGGGAAGGCAGTGGGTAATGGTGCTCAGAGAAGGGCAGAGGCAGCCTTTAGCTTGGAGGTGTGCTCAGGTTTCTAGATCATATCAAGAATGAAGACAGCCCGGGGCCCCCCATTGGCAGCCATCACGCCTTTTTCTCTGATGACCGGGAGCCCTACCCTGTGACTGACATTGCTGACCTCATCCGGGACTCCTATGAGGTACCTGAGCCCCCCTGCCCCTTCCCACTAGGAAGCATGCCTGAGAGATGGCTGTGGAGGGAGGGTTCCTGGGCTACTTCCTGTTTCCTGTCTGGACACAGAGGGCTTCCAAGTAAGCGGTTCCTGTATCCCTCCAGAAATTTGGAGACCAGTCTGTGGAGCAGATTGAGCACCTACGCTGCAAGCACAGGATCAGGGTCCTCCAAGGACACGAGGACACCACTAAGCAGAACGTGGTGAGCAGAGGACACCTCACACTGGCGCTCATGGTGTTTGGGTGTCAACCTGGGAGTGCATAAGAATACTAGGGTTTTTTGTTGTTGTTCGTTTATTTTTGTACAGAACTAAAAACCTACTAGGAGTGACATGTGTAGAAACATCCAGGGTCAGACTGAGAAATTCCCTTCTGGAAGCCTCAGTTTCCCTGTTGTATGGTGGGGATAACATCCAGTGCCTCCGTGAATTGGAGGTGTGTAAAGTGTCTAGACGGGTGGCCTCCGGGGGAGCTGTCATTAGAGCTGTCTTCCCGTGTGGTGCCTGCTGGCTTTGTAGCAGGGGACCCTTGTCTGGAGGTACTGTGTGAACAGGAAGGAGGTTGGGGACAAAACACTTGGAAAACTGCTGTCATGCCATCTTTGTGTCAGAAGGGAATAGATGCTGGGAGGAAAAGAGCCACTACATAAGGAAGCCAGTCCTTTGTGTCCCCTCCAGTCTTCCCGGGATACAGACCTAGAATTCACTCCGTTGCTTCTTTGTGCTTTCCTTAAGCTCCGTGTTGTTATCCCCGAAGTGTCGATTCTTCCTGAGGACCTAGAGGAACTCTATGACCTATTCAAGGTATGGAAATCTGGGAAGAAGAGGGAGTTACGGGCCCTGAGCTTGGCCCAGCCTACAGCACCCAGCCTTCCTGAGGTGAGCATGCACGGCCTGCAGGGGTCTGCCGAGTGCAGGGGCCTGTGGCAGCAGAGGCTAGAGCAGGCTCACCTGCCTGCTTCCATCCAGAACCTCTCAGCCTGCCGCCTCTGCCCACACACCAGGGCCCTCCTGAGACAGCATTACCCTCCCCTAAAACAGCCTGGCATCCGGGAGGGAGGAGCCAGGGTTCCCTGGACAGCTCCACTGGGCTGTGTGGCCCACGCGCTGAAGCAGCCGTGCTGTCCTGAGAGGGCCTGGCATTGTGCTTCCCTGATCTGTGCTAATGAGCCTGGGTTCCTAGTCAACAGAGGGACCATGACCCTCGCTGAAGTCATCACCTGACACAAGTTTTAATTACTCATGCTTCTACCTGGGAATACGTGTGCCCATCTCTGTATTTCTGTGGCAGGTGTGCGGCTCGTTAGGTATTTCCCATTGATGCTACTATCAGTACTCGTCCATGTGACCAGTCTTCGCTGATTTAACAAGTCGATGATCTGTCATGCCAGCAGTGTTTACGGGGTACATCAGATTGCTGGTCCTCGGGTTTTGGGTGGAGTGCCAGGCTCATCACCCTGTGAAGTGTTTCTTCAGACTCCTTGCTGGGAGTTTTCTTCCTTGAAAGAGTGCAGGCCCAGGGTGCACTGCCGCTCCCCACAGAGACAGGGCAGGAAGCAGTTCTGGAAAGCTGGCCTGGCATGGCAGAGCCCTTCCCCAGCTCTTCCTGGTGGGGATGCCAGCCCCTGTCACTTCCTAGCTCAGATTGCCAGAGCAGGCCACAGCCTGAGCAGCAGTGCTCTGCAGGGAGCTCGAGCTGGGTGGCCTGAGGCCTTCCTGGGCCTGGAGGGGCCTTCCCACAGCCCCTGGGATGGGTTGTTGGGTGGTGGGTTTCTGGTGCTCCTCAGTCCAGCTAGCAGGGCCTATGGTGACAGCTGGCAGGCCCTTGTCCCCCACAGCCAGCACCGGTCCCCAAGTTTTAGTTTCCTTTGTAGCATGAAGACAAAGTCAAAGGTTACTTGCTCTCCTGATCCCCTTTGGCTTTTCAAGGAGGAACAACAGGGAATACTGGAAACCTAAAAGCAGGGAAACAAATTACAAAGGTGGTTTTGGTTTATTTGCTTAAAAAGACTGACTTGTATGGGACTATTTTCAAGAAGGAGAAAACAGGAGACCTCACACATCCAAATTTATATAACAATAAGATTTATTAATGATAAAAATAAATTGCTTTGTACTGACCACATTGTTCATCTTTCATAGGAAAAATTATGGAAGAACTTGGTTAGATGGTTTCCTGTTTCTTTCCCATGAAGGATAAACAATGTGATTGATACTTATTAAAATTTTTTTCCATATTTATAATTAGTCCTAAAAAGCTTTCTTTTATGGAGGGCTTAACCACAAACAAAAACTTAAACTATAAATCCAAGATAACTTTCAAAATGTACTCCTAAGGGAAATAAAAGTAAAGCAGCATTGTCTCCGGGTGTCTGCTTCAGTGGTACAACCCAGGGCGCCTCTTTTTTGAGCCCATGCCCCACCCAGCAGCCTTCTGAGACTGCTCTTTCTCCCATGGTCTTGACCTTTGAATTTCCATGGCTTTAATAGTCTGTGTATTATAATAGTTTAAAGCCTGTTGAAGTTCTGTCGGCTATTATGTCCTCTTACTGGGTTTTCACTTGCACCCTTTTGAACCAGAATTTCACTTTCTCAAGAACAGGGGCCATGTGGAAACACCCTTACACTGAATGATAAACATGTGACAGGTTCCTCAAGAGGAGGCCATTTCTTAACTGCCCTTCCCTAAGCCTGGAGTGAACAGGCACGTTGGTTCTCTATGCCAACAAGCAATAGTCAGCTCTGCCCAACTTCTTCAGACTCTTTCCATTAAGGATGAATGACATGCTTAGCACTTAATGAAATTTATTTTAATCACTAAAGCAGTCCTTTAAATTTCTGAAGTCCAGATTTGTGATGTCTCACTTTCTCTCAAACTGAAAAACTGTCCTTAATCCTGTCCTCCCAAGTGGGATGTGCACAATGTAAATCCAGACCTTGGGTCACAAGCTCTCCTGGAAACATCCAGGCCCTGAAACAGTGCCTTACGTGTTCCGTGGACATGTTCTTACTAATGATCACCTAAAGTCATCCACGATTGCTGGATGATTGTGCCCCAAAGGGCATTTGATCTCTTTGATTATTGTTTTGCTTCCTTCTTTGTTCTGCATAAGACTTTTGTCCTCAAAATTTAATGGAAAGACAAAACAAATTATACCTAATTTCATTTTTAAAAAAGATGAAGAAATAGAAGAAAGATTTTAAGCAAGAAACTGAAGGGCCTTACCTTGCCCTTGTGATCCTGCCTTATACAAGTAGTGACTGTGAACATGGGGAGCATCTTTCCTGACTCCTGCCCCCTGCTGGTCTTTATCTATAGACACACATGTACACAATGGGGACACGCGCATACCTGCTTCCCCGCCCCCATACAAAAGATTGTGCCACATATAGTGGCCTAAGAATTTTTTTTTTTTTTAGTTGACCATACACTGTGGACTTTTTTCTAGATCATTATCTACAAATCTCAATCTTTTTTAATGATTGCATAGTTTCCTTGTAGGGCTGAACCATGCATGAGTTAGTAGCCGTCTTCCTCTGAGGGACATTTACGTTGTTTGCAGTTTTTGCTACTTCATAAACAGTACTGTGCATTTATCTGGGTCCAGTGCTGTTATTTTTGTAGGGTGGATTCTTGAAGGTGGTATTTCGGGTGATGGGAGATGTACATTCTGAATTTCAGTCAATATTGGTAAAATAATTTTGACTTTTCACTGAAGGCGTCCAAGGGGACTTGTCTCCCACGTGCCACACCCACCTGCATTTGATATCATGGATCTTCTACGATTCTGTTCGTTCATTGGCTAAGTCTATCCCTTCATGAGTCACCTGTTCATTTCCTTTGAGAAACTAGTTATAAGTTCCTAAATATATATAAACTAGTTATATGCCCACATATTGCCACCATTTTCTTTGGGCAACATTTTGTGGGTCTCTAGCTGGCAGTATGCACAAACATACGTGGAAATTCGTGGTGCACCTCGGGTTTTTAAGAATGGAAATTAAGCCTTTTTTTTAACACCTGCAAGTGCTTGTGGTGCTTCTAACAGTTCTGTAATGGCCGCGGAAGAAGGATTGCGACATACCGTGTTACTGACTCTAGGGCATCTGCCCTTGTTTCCTGTCTTCACAGACGAAGGACTTTGAATAGTAAAGAACCCCAAGAACCCCATAGTACTGGGAACCCTATCAGGCTTTTGCCAATTGACATGTCCAAAAAATGCATGTGACGTAGTGAGTGACAGGGCCAGTCTGGTTGCTCTAGTTTTAGTCTATTCCCAAGACTTCACCTTGCCTTTTGTTGTTTTGTTCTTGTTTTTTTGTTTTTACTTTAAAATTTCAAAATTGGTAATACACTCATGTGGGTCAAAATTCAGGAAGTATTGAAAAAGAAAGCAGTAGGAAGTCGTGATTCTACTTGCTGCCACCCTGTCTCGGCCTCCCAAATAGCCGGGATCGCAGGTGGGGCCCCCAGACCTGGCTCTGGCTCTGGCTCAGGGGTGTGAGCCTCCCTCGGGTTCTGCTGCTGCCGCCCGTCTCAGCTCTCTCTCCCTCCCTGTTTCAAGAGAGAACACATGATGAGCTGTTACTGGGAGCAGCCGAGGCCCGGGGTCCTGCGCCACGACCCCAGCAGGCCCTACGCCGAGCAGTACCGCATCGATGCCCGGCAGTTTGCACACCTGTTCCAGCTGGTCTCGCCGTGGACCTGTGGGGCCCACACGGAGATCCTCGCTGAGAGGACTTTCCGGCTCCTGGACGACAACATGGACCAGCTCATGGAATTCAAGGCATTCGTTAGCTGTCTGGGTATGACTCCTTGGGTCCTCACGGAGGGGACGGGGGCAGTCTGGTGAGCAGAGTGGATTGTGGAACAGGCAGACTCACATGATGATGAGACATGTTCGTGACTGGCCTCCTGTGATTCTGTGGTCTTTCCATCTCTCTCTGCGAGCTCCTCCCAGGACCACCCTGATGCTCCCTAGTGAGGGCGGGGCGTGGGCCCTCAACATACAAGGCCGGGGACTTGTTCTCCCTGGCACCCCAGGCATGGGGGTGGCTCGATCCTAACCTTTGTTCATTAAATTAAATCTTCAAAAAGTGCTGCCTGGAGACTCGGTCACCAGCCACCATCCTTCACGCTCTCCTTTCTAGCCTGGTGTGCATCTGGGGTGGTAGGGGTGGTGGCCACACGTATTGACCTTTCTCCCTCTGTAGTAAGTTTGTGTCATGACAAGAAGACTTAACCATTTATACCCAATCTCCTCTCCTTCATTTTTACAGATATTATGTATAATGGAGAAATGAATGAGAAAATCAAACTGTTATATAGGCTTCATATTCCTCCAGGTAAGCGAGGCCAAGTGGGAAAATCAGGCTGAGCCCTGTTTCAACACAAGATCAGCTTTGTACATGACAATGAAGTTCTTTTAAAATTTTCATGTAGACTTGGGGTGACAAATGTTTTAATTTGGTGTTTCAGATCATAGATTGTAAATACTGAACTGTGGCCTGAGCGTGGGTCCAAATCACCTGGAGGGCTTGTTCCAACTGGTCACTGGGCTGCCCAGATGGCTGACTCGGGGTCTGAGAATCACTGACTGGAATGTGGGAGCAGGATCCTGGTTACCTCAGTGGGTGGCTACTTTAGGCTCCTGCTTTTAGGTACCGTTTGAGATTTCTAGCATGTAAGACTTGCCTATCATGCACTGGTAGGCAGGAACAAAGGGAGTCATTTTGAAGCCTTTGAGGTCAAGACTTGACGTGGACAGGAACAAGAACAAGGAAACCTTAATGTGTCCCTTGTATCTTTAAAACTAATGGTCACTAGTACGGACCAACTGGAGGGCACCTGTCCCCAGCACTGTGGTTCTGGTACAGGACGGTGCTGGCGACAGAACTTCCCATCCAGGATCCGGGGGAGCTTGGGACGTTTCCAGGATCACAAGATGCTCGTGGCTTCTACAACTCTTAGAGCACACATAGAAATTGAAAATGCACATGGACATTGTTTGTGGGCTTCTGAATTCGGCCATTGCTGCCTTAGTGTTTGGTGCCTGAGGCACGTTTTCTCCAGCCAGCTCTCCTGGCCACAGAGCTCCTCCTGCCCCTTCCCGGGACTCTTCCTTCCCTAAGTACAGACTGCGTAGCATCAGCCAAGTTCTCCACTTTTTATGCCAATTGAGTTTTTAAATTAATTTGTTGTTTTTAGATATACATGACAGTAGAGGGTACTTTGACATCATGCATCCATGGAGTATAACTTCCTGCTATTGTGGTTGGACTTGATATGGAGTTTCGCTGGTTGTGCATTCATATAGGAACACAGAAAAGTGATGTCCCATTCATTCCACTGTCTTTCCCATTCCCAGCCGCCTGCCAGTTGAGTTTTGTCTTTATTTTCTAATTTCCACCAAATATTTTTCCACTAACATAGAAGATATATATTTCCTTTATTACTTTATCATTGTCTTTCTATAATCATTATCAGGATCTTACTCCTCAATAGGACATGACTGATTTTATTTTATTCAATGATTTTATCTTGGTATTTAAATAATAAACATTTCATTTTAGAATAATTTATAAAAAGTTGCATAGGTATTACAGCTAGAATTTCCATCTTGACATACTTTTAAACTTACTGGCTTTTGAATTTGAGGCTTTTGATTCTTGATCTGACTTCATTGTGAATTATTTCTAAATAGAGTCAATTCCTAAGACATTTTAATTATTAAAAGCAGCTGTAGGGGCTGGGATTGTGGCTCAGTGGTGGAGTGCTCCCCTAGCATGGGTGGGACCTGGGTTTGAGCCTTAGCACCACATAAAAATAAAAGCATTGTGTTGTGTCCATCTACACCTTAAAATTTTTTTAAAAAGCAGCTATAGACCTTCACATTTTTAGAAAAATCAATTCTCAAACTTTTTAAAACATGATTATGAGATACGGTGTGACTGAAACAAAATCGTTAAAACAAAACTGAAGATTTGATACGTTATTTATGTATGTTTAATATTTGATTTATTTTTGTCCTGGGGATTAAACTCAGGGGCACTGGACCACTGAGCCACATCTCCAGCCCTGTTTTGTAATTTTTTGTATTTAGAAACAGGGTCTCACTGAGTTGCTTAGTGCCTGGCTTTCACTGGCTGAGGCTGTCTTTGAACTTGTGAATTTTTGATGTAGTTAAAAAATCTTAAGAATGCAAACAACCTAAAACCTCAGTTTCCTGAGATCATGAATTCACACTACCATTAGGTACTTCTCTTTTAATTTTAACCATTTACTTCCAATCATAATGAATAGCTCTTTAGTTAAAGGTGGGACAATCACACACATCAGAAAGTTTGAAGTCACTAATTAGGAAGTATAATGAGGATTAACTCAACTTTAAATTTGAATGTCCAGTGATTTCCTTTCGGCCTCCAACTCATCCTATTTGCCTGTCCAAGAGGCAGTGGGACCAAGCAGAGTGCACCAACACTGGCCACAGACACCCACCTGGTGCAGAGAGTTGGTCCTCTGCCAGGGGAGATGGCAGTCTTGGTGAGCATGGTTGATACGCAGCTCAGGAGGCAGTGAGGAACCCAAGGCCTCCGCAGTTCCAGAAGAGCTCATTAAAATTTCTGGACTCCATCGGGATCACACTTGTGCATAAAAACTAGAAAAGAATATTAGATGCTTTGAAACCATGTCAGGTGGTAAAAGAGACAAAGAGTATTCCAGAAGACTGAAATCATGAGTTTTCTTTGCAGATTGATACCTCTACAGGTATTGGGCATTTTTTGCTCAGTTAGTTTCACTAGGTTGAATTCTAGAGGAAACTTCTAGAAGAACATTATTTTCACTAGAAAGAAACAAAATGGATATCTGAGAACGATCCACTGGAAGGGTGAATGAATACACAGAGAGATTCAGAGGCTGTCAGGTCTCTGCGCAGTGCGGGGCTGCAGGGACACCTCACTTGACTAGTTCCTTCAGGGAATGCCAAGACGCAAGGGATGCGTTATTTTATTTGAGAGCAGTGCTCCACAGGGCTTACATGCTGGTCTTGGTCCATACCAAGTGGTGTTCTTGCTGGGAGTGTAACTCCATCTACATGGACCATTTGCCTGACATGTGGGAACCCTGGGTTCCATCCCAGCACCACCAAAAATTTTTGTTTCAATGTTGACTACTAAAATTCCAGCTGCTCATCTCTGTGTTCAGCTATATGTGGAGAAAGATTTCCTTGTGAGGACTCATGTATATCCAAGAACATTTACTGTGGAAAAGAACACCCCTCCCCAACTCCCAGCCCAGAAATCTACCTAATAGGAGATCCGCAGCTTACCAAAGCTGTGGTGACACCTTGTGGACATTTCTTGAATCACAACTGAATTTTGCCTTTGATTTGTTCTCAATGAATGGCTCCCTACTAAGTCCCAACCTTTTAAAAATAAGGATCTTTCCTTGTCCATATCCTGATAATTGCTTCTTTGAAACATCTTTATTGAGCTATATTTCACATATTATTCAGGTTATCTGTTTGAAGTGTACAGTTCCATGGTTTTTCATTTATCAAGTAGTGCAAAGCTTACCATAATCAATTTCTGAACCTGACTTCAGCCTAAACAGAAACCTCCAACCATTTAGCTATTTTGCCCAATCTATTTACCCCAACCTTAGATGACCCGCTATTTCTATAGATTTGCCTTCTGGACATTTCATACAGATGGAATTAATATAATATGTGCCATTTTGTCTGGTTTCTTTAACTTAGCATAATGTTTTCAAGATTGATCCAAGCTGTAGTTTGTATCAATACTTCATTCCTTTTTGTGGCCAAGTAATATTCCACTGCGTGGCTGTGCCACGATTGATTTATTCATCAACAATTCACAATCCCCCTGATGGACATTTGGGTGGTTTTGGCTATTAAGAGCACAGCAGCTAAATGTTAATATACATATTTTTTGAGGAACATGTTTTCAATTCTCTTAGGTATATATTTAACTTTTTGAGGAGCTACTAGACCATTTTCCAAGGCTGAACCATTTTACATCTCCACTAGCAATGTGTGAAGGTTCTGATATAATTTTTTAAGTATGCTCCAACAACGTAAGGTGCTACTTTGAGTCTAGTAAGGCTTTTTCAATTCTTAAACCATCTAAATATAGTAGTATGTATAGAGAAATGATTGTCATGAAAAGTTTAACATAATTGCTAATTATTCTGCCATTCTGAGATTAAGTATATTTCTAGTTTCTTGTATGTGTGTAGGTTTTAGTTTTACGAATGGGATTTTACTTACTTTCTTCCAGGTCAACATCAGAAGTCTCTCTGAATTTGTATGTGACATGTGAATTCTGAATTTGCATGTTATCTGTATATAGATTTGGGACATGGGACATATTACTCACTGTGTGTCCAGACACTGCTCCATGGGCCTTTGGGTTTCTGGACCCTGCAGAGTCCGCAGCCCACAGGTTTGGGAGCTGCTGGCTTAGCCTGAAGTTACTTGTTGCCTAAATTACTTGTTTTTTGCTAGGAAATGTGTTAAATTTTAATCTTTTTTTTTTTTTTTTTTTTAAGCACTCACTGAAAATGACCGAGACAGCCAGTCACCACTAAAGAATCCTCTGTTATCCACGTCAAGACCCCTGGTGTTTGGGAAGTCCAATGGCATGTACCTCTTTCACTATCTGTCCCCAGACACAGTATTCCTTGCCACCACCACCCCCCCCCCCAAGCCGCTGGTTTCTGCCCTCCCTGGTGATTCTCACCAGGGAGACCACTCTTTCATCCAGAGGCCTTCGAGGTGCATGTGGTGCCCACTGGGTTCCTTCCTCTCCCTTGCCATTTCCTGGGGCCCTCTGGTGGCAGATTCTCCCGGGGAACACAGATGGGAATCTGTAGTCACTGTAAAAATCTCCTTCTGACGGAAATTCTTGCTTTTTAGTTATTTTACGGATTTGCTTAGTGGAATCCCCCTTCCTTTCCCATGCCCATCCCCGTGCTTGCTGTCATTGAATTTATTTATTTACTAATGTTTCCCTTTGTCACAAGGTGATACAGTTGATTATCAGAAGCAGCTGAAACAGATGATTAAGGATTTAGCCAAAGAAAAAGATAAAACTGAGAAAGAGTTGCCCAAAATGAGCCAGGTATGAATTTTCTGTGAAGAATATGAACTGTTTTGTAAAGAGATTTTTGTCAAGATTAGTATTTAAACTTGGACCCCTTTTCTTCCAAAATTCAGGATTATTTTGTGGAGCTGAATATTATTAAGAGGTTTAAATTGTGATCATCAGATGTTCCAAACTCTTCAAAATGAAGCTGCTACATACTTCATGCTTTTTTAAAAAATATTTTTAAAAATTGTTGATGGACACAAAATTTATCTTTTTAATGTGGTGCTGAGGATCAAACCCAGTGCCTCATACGTGCAAAGCAAGTGCTCTACTGAGCTGCAACCCCAGCCCACTTCATGCTTTTTTAATGTCTATATGAAATTTATTTGTTCAGGTTGTGATAACAGATTTATTCCTTAAGGTAGTAAAAGCATTTGGAGCCACTGTAGACACATCAGCCTTTAAAAATAAATTAATTTCAAAAAGTGGGCTGAGGTTGTAATTGAGTTGGTGGAGTGCCCATGTAGCAAGCCCTGGGATTTCTAGTTCTGCCACATGCACAAGTGCATTGTTAAAAATCACTGCCTGCTGGGCGCAGTGGCACACACTGTAATCCTAGTGGCTCAGGAGGATCATGAGTTCAAAGCCAGCCTCAGCAAAGTGAGGCACCAAGCAACTCAGTGAGATCCTGTCTCCAAATAAAACTATAAAGTAGGGCTGGTGATGTGGCTCAGTGGTCAGGTGCTCCCGAATTCAATTCCCGGTATCCCACCCCCCCCCGAAAAAAAAAATCATTGCCTGTATCATACATAGCACCCAGTCTCCAAAACTTTTGAGCTTTTTCCAGAAAAGGGGTTCTCGCTTACATGTATTATATGGTAGTAGTTTTGATTTGAAAAGAGTCTCTCAATATTTGAGAATCGCAGTTTAAGTTAGTTAAGAATGTTCCTTTATCTTAGGACTTCCGGTACCGTGTACTGGTCTCTTCTAGAAGTTGTGCTAATGTGCAGGAAGCACTGGTTTTGATCCCTAGCACTTAAGGGGGGAAACAATGGAATTTAGCATGACATGTTTCTTTTTTGTAATCACAAAATATCTTTTTTTTAATAACATTTATTTATTTTTTATGTGGTGCTGAAGATCAAACCCACGGCTTCACGCATGCTAGACACACACTCTACCCCTGAGCCACAACCCTAGCCCACAAAATATCTTGATTGGTATTTCATAGCAGGTGTGAGAAATGCCACCACTGTCTCTATTTTACTAGGGAATTGCTCTAAATTTTCATTCTACTCCTTAGAAACAGGAGTCAGTTACATATGATCACCCAAAACTGTCAGTACCAATGTTTTTGTTGGGTGGTGCTAGGATCAGAACCAGGGCCTTCCACATGCTAGGCAAAGGTAATACCACTTTAAAAAAATATATATATTCCACAGCATTAAGTACTGTGTGGTATCCCCACCAGTTGAACTTACCATTAATTTTATTCAATGTAAACATTTCAGCCATTTCCACCATTTTTTTTATCTAGAATAAACTCCAGCCTCAACATCCTTATAAACAAGCTATAAACTTATAAGCCTGTGAGCTATAAAGCTTTAAGGCAAACTCTCTTCACAGCTTTGGTTTCTTAGGAGACATTTGTACAAGTAAGCCTGCTGTGTACATCCTCCAGGGACACTTGTGCAGCTCCTATGTACATACAAATGACCCATGTCCAGATGTGCTGAGTTGGTGCTTTCAGAGTGGAGGGGCAGTGGCTACCTTCTGTTCTGCTTCTTCAGGACTAGTTGTGCTTTTCTCAGAGTTCTTTAAAAATACATTATACTTCCAACCTGGTTATGCTGCTATACATGGGCTTCCCCCCCCACCTCTAATTTCAGAGAGAATTTATCCAGTTCTGTAAGACTTTGTACAGTATGTTCCATGAAGATCCAGAAGAAAACGATCTGTATCAAGCCATTGCCACAGTAACCACCCTGCTGCTGCAGATCGGGGAGGTGGGCCAGCGCAGCAGCAGCTCAGGAAGCTGCTCCCAGGAGTGTGCAGAGGACCTGCAGGCTTCAGCTCCTTCTCTAGAGCAGGACTCTGTTTTCGTGGACCCTGGGAAGATGCCCCAGGACTCCCAGGCATTTCCTGAGTCAGCAGAAGGGGACTGGACTGTCTCTCTTGAACATATTTTAGCATCACTTCTTACTGAACAATCACTAGTAAACTTTTTTGAAAAGCCACTGGACATTAAATCCAAACTTGAAAATGCCAAGATCAATCAGTACAGTCTCAAAACTTCTGAAATGAGTCACCAATCACAGCCTGAACTCAAGCTGAGTAGCCTGTAGCCTTGGGCACACTGGATCTGCTATACCAAAGCACGGACTGGACCTTCCTGGGTCATCTAACCACAAACCCAGATGTCAGTCTAAACTTCATTCTGAGCACACTTTACATGCTGGTATCTGGAAGAGCAACCTGGCAGTGGCTGGAGGAACTGACAACGCTTGGGCATTTCTGTGTTCTTGAGGGGAATCGAGTTGGACAGTCAGTGGCACAGGTCCCCACCTGTTCTTTCGATGACTGGCAAGTTCACTTCCATCAGATTTGCTGAAATCGGTGTCCCGCCACAATGCTATTATGATTTCATTCTTTGATCAAACAGATGTCTCTAACAAGAGACAGGAGTCCCAAGCTCTCATTTATCACTTAGAATGAGAGGTGATAAATCAAGTACACTTTCAAGGTCTCAGAGCCACTGTCCGTGCAATTGTATTTGGCTTCTTTTTTTTGCACTAGTTTTGTTTCAATGCTGGTAATTGAAACCATTTTAATATATTTGGTTGTATTCACTTTATATGTCCTTCCAAAAATGATGTGTACAAACCATGCTTTCAACGTGGGCTTCCAAGTTTTTTAATAAGAAACCTTTTTGTATTGCCTCAGTCTATTTTTTTTTAACCTTACACTAAGGTGGATGGTCATATTGGTGAATGGACAAGCTGGCGAGTGATAATTATAAATGGGTTGAAATAAGACTCGGCCTCTAGGTTTATCTGATTACCTTATCAAGAATCAATTATTTGGAGGGAGGGTACAGTGCAATGTTGTGCTTAGCATGCAAGAGGCCTAGGATGACCTCCAGCACCACCACCCCTGCCACAAAAATCTATTTTAGAAGGTTAAGTGTACTCAATACAGACAGCAGCTTGAAGACATGCTGCCATTTTTCCCCCCCATTAAATCTAAGATTCTACAGGCGTGTTTACTGATTCTCTGGGGGAAAAAAATCTTAGAATGAACAAAACTTCCAAGTAAAAGCATTAACATCACACCTCCAATTTTTCAACAACCTAGAGCAGTGGTTCTCAAGTCAATCACCTTAAAAACCCTTAGACCCTGTCCAAACAGACTCCAGGAGCTAGGCAGGAAATAGAATGTAGGAACAACTCTCCAGATGATCCCACAACCACACATGACAATCACACAAGGAAAACCAAAACAGTTTTATGACTTTATTTAACTATCAGCAGTTAGTTCTCATCCACATTGACTGTCTGTAGATCTGCAAAGGAAGTGATAAGACAGCATTCATTCATTTTGTATTTAAATACCCCAAAAATCTTTTCTAGAAAATTCTGGATATAGTTCTATTTCATTTCCCATGCCTTTTTATAACCAAGATATCAGTTTTGTATTTAAAGTGAAATTATGCCTGTTACTCATATTCCTGTTGGAAAGTTTCCAGGCACACAGTGTACAGGAAATATCCGAAGAGATAAATTCAGGATTTAAAAAGGGCTGGAACGTAGCTCAGTGGTAAAGTACCTCTGAGTTCAATACTTTGTACCAAAAAGAAAGGACTAAAAAGTCATTTTTACAGTTTTATGGAGTGGAGTGAAACTTACTTTTGAACGTGGTAACGGGGACATAGGTTACCAAAGTATAGAGCTTGTTTGGTGAATCTTCATCCTCGTTACGTTTTCTGGATAATCGCACACGAATACGATATGGGACATTCCTAATAAATGGAAGTGAATTGCTGGAGTCAATTCCTCCTTTCAGAAACAACCATTGCATACATTCACAAAACCCTTCCTTGCTTCTTCATCAACCAGCCACTATCTGTCCCTGGTAGATATACCAAGGGGGACTATCATCTCAGGACGCATGTCTATTAAAATGTGTTAAACATCCCCACCAGAACCACTCAGTCTCTACCACACCTTTGCCATTTTTCTAGCTGGTCCCCTGCTTCTACTTTGGCACCTTGTCCTTTCCAGTAATCAACACCCCCCCTCCCTTCCCAATCTCGGCATTAACATTTGGATCAGGCAATTCTTTGTGGGAATTGTCCCAGGCATTCTGGATAGCCGCAGGGCCAGCAGGGCCCCTGGCCCGTAACAACCCAGGGGGAACAGCTGGTAAAACTGCCCAGGTTAAGTACCACTGCTGTCATGTTACGCTGGGCATGCCTGATGTCTAGGCCCAGGGCCCTGCTCCTCCAGCCTCCTTTGTGAGGGCTTCCAGGCACTTCCTCTACCACTCTCACCATCCTCCCAGATGCCACCTCGCCTGCTCTCTACGCAAGGCCCTCCTCTGCCTAACACTGCTGCCTTCTTCATTAATGTCTCAGTGACTGTTAAAGGCCTCCCTAAAGATGCTAGCTCATTCTCTGAGCCACTCACAGTACTTTCTTTATACTTCCACATAATGACCAAACTAGGAAACTCACAGGAACTGTGCAAAATGAGTAGGAAAAGCTGTTGTCACCACAGGAGGTCACTTTCTAACAAATAATCTTAATACCTTATTCCTTTGGCCCAGACAGCTTTGTTGAGCCTGGTATCAATGCGCACATCTGGAGTTCCCATCTCTTTCATGGCAAACTTCCGGATCTCTTTGAGGGCCCGAGGAGCACGCTTCTTGAAACCCCTAGGATTCGTATATAAGTGAACAAATTAAAAATGCACATGAAATTGTGCAAATACATACACAGCATATCCTTCCAAAACAAAAACCTTAAACTAGGCAGGAACAGCCTTTTTGCACCAGTATGCAGTGTCCAGCAATTAGCATCAACACTTGGACGAGATGTGTACTGCATCTCCACTTACATAAATACCAAGTGTCCCAGGATTATTTAGAGCATGCTTTTGAAAACACATCTAACTTGGTCTATGTGTCCAGAGCAAGGGCTTTAAATGTGTGGGTAGATTTCTTAAGTTTGAAGACAAAACTTAATCCTATTCTGTGGAAATTTAGGTATGTTGTCAGGCACTGTTCCAAAGGCATGAACTGTATCCATTAACTTACCACTGCTCAAAACTGAGCTCAGGACCAGTAACCCTCCATTCACAATGAAGGTACAAACTTGTTACAATTTTATGCTTTTAGTTAAATAAGAAATGCAAAAGCTCAGAACTTCACATAGGCTAAAAAGGCCAAATATTTGCACAAGCCAAGGCTACTCAAGCAACTTAAAGGTGTCCATAGCCAAGACTCTTCCTTTGCTCTGAGCTCACCAGCCTCCTTGCCATTTTTAGAGCCCAAATAAGCTCATTTCATTCTTATTCAGACATAAAAGAGTGCCAGAGTTACAGTGGTCAGCAAAACAAACCCCCAGCATTTTTTTAAAAATATTTTTTCTTAGTTGTAGATGGACACAATAACTTACTTTTTTTCTTTTTAATTTAGTGCTGAGCATCTAACCCAGTGCCTCACATGTGTGAGGCAGGAAGGAGCTCTACCACTGAGCCACAACCCCAGCCCAAAGCCCCAGTTTTTGATGTAGCTTATGCAAGTGACCACCAAGTACATCAGACAGAATAAAGCACTATAGAAAAAGACCAGGAAGAAGAGATGAAGAGTTAGAGAAGGGCACAGCAAGTCTCAATATAATGGCCAAAGGGGACACTGTGCTCAAGATCTAAAGACAATGATGGCAGTCATTTAGCTACCCAAGGCAGTAGGGGAAAGTAAAAATAAAGCAAAACAACTATTTTTAAACATGAACAGGCCTGGCATGATTAGGTTAAAGAATGGGGGTGAGGGCAGTGCAACTTGTTACATTGTGAATGCATTCAGAAGGTACAGCCCACAGGATCTAGTGAAGTGCCAATAAATCAAACAGAGAAGGGCACAACAGGAAAGAGTTGGGGTAGAGATAAGACACCAGGAGTCTGGTTTGGCCCATGTAAAGTCGGTGCCCATTTACTCAAGCAGAGATGTCGAACAGCAGTTGGATGTCTGAAGTCTGTAAGATTGCTTTTTACAAAGTATGGACAGAAAAGAGAACTTCATCCTGGTACACCTCAATATTAAGAGGGCAGTGTGGAGACAGGGAGCACAGGGTAAAGGAGGAAGGACAACAGGACTACGGAGCCTGGCATTTGTGTGCTGGAAGCATGAACCCTTAGGCCACTTACCATATTAAGATTCTAAATACTTGTTGCCTTTCACTACCAGGAAGGCAAGGTCTTTGGTTCCCTGCCTATCTGCATGCCCAGTACAGTACCTTGACAGTCAAATGCCTGACTTGCCACAACTAAAGGAGGGGTGTGTAGCAATTCACAATCAACATTAACACACAAAAATGGACACCAGATAGACCCAGAAACCACCTGAGACCACAAATAAAACTGCACCTAATGCTCACTGGCTGACAGGTCACCATCTGGCTGGGATGCCAGGCCAAACGCAAATGCTGCCACATTTACATCGCTTGCCAATGTGGGTCTTAAGGAGATCACCCAGTCAAGTCCAAGAAATTCTGCTCCACAGATTGATGAGCGAATAGAACATTTCTCCATGTCTAACATTTTTCCTATTTAAACCTCAAGTAACAAGAGATTTGGTGTCTATCGTTATCAGTTAGCTTGATGGGCGAAAAAGGGGGAAGACTTCTCAAGCCCTAGAACCAAAAACTAAATCAGAACACCCCAAATCACCCCCATTGCTGCATATCATACACCCGTGGTTCTTCACCATCTATTGCCAATGCTGACACATTTTATTTCTAGCGGTTTACCTTCTGGCATTACAACTCTATCAGTTATTAACACATATCTGCATGGGTCAGAGAACAAACAAGAACCCTATTTCACATTCAGGGCTGGACAAAACTTAATAATGTTCCTGCATCTACAGATATTGTTTGCTTTCCCTCCTTCACTCTGACCTTTTGGCCTGTCCGAATTTAATTAAAAAACAAAAGCACCGAGTGTAAGGATCACCACCAATTTTCTAAAACTGACTCTTCCTGAAATCTCAATTCCTGTGGACAGTACACTTGAAACCCCGCAAGCCTTCAGAAGAGTAGCTGCAACACAAATCTTGATGGATCACGCATTTCTAGAGCACTTAGCCTTTAAAGACTCGGCAGTCCCAGGAGGACACCAACCAGGCGCCTAAGTGGGGCAGGCCAGACCCAGGCGGAGGGTGGGGTACTCACACTCCATGGATGCGCTTGTGAATGTTGATGGTGTATTCCCGGGTCACGACCTCGTTGATGGCAGAACGGCCCTTCTTCTTCTCGCCACCCTTCTTTGCGGGAGCCATCTAAATACAGGTAGGGAGGCTTAGAGCAAGCTCAGCGAGACAAGCGCAAGTCAAGTCGTCCCTCGCGGCTTGGCTTCACGCTGCCAGGGGAGAAAACCTAGGCCAGGTAGATCCCAGCCGTCCATGTTCGAGCAAGGCCCGGTGGCCGGCCGCCCTGCAGCTTAGGCATAACCGCCCCTCCGGCACCCTCGACCCGGAAGCCCCTGCGGCCCCGGCTCTCCCAAGCCTGCCACTCTCCCTCCCAGGCACCGGGAGCCCTTTAACACAGCGCCGATTCCCATCTTCCAGAAACCGGAGCCGGAGCCAACTCCGACAAGACCCCGCTGTGCTCGCCAGCACAATCCTGGGGGTTGATGGAGCCGGATTCCCGAAGCTGGAACCCCGGGACCCATACTCACTCTGCCAGGCCCAAGTTGGAAAGGAAGGGCGCGAAGAATTGTGGGAGGGAAAGCCGCGTTTGCAAGTACAACTTCCGGGTCGCCCGGAGGCGGGGACTGGAGAAGTGGCTAGGGAAGGGGAGAGGCGAGGCTGTGACGTAAACGAGGAGCGCCCGGGTAGCCGCGAGGGGGTCTTGGGGGCGGAGCCTGGGCGGGGCGGTGCCTGGGCGGGCGCGGCTGCGCAGATCTGCAGTGCGCTCAGTTCTGGCTTCTGCGGCGGGCTGCCTACTTGCGAAGCGTCCGGGGAGCGTCTTGTTCCTATTTTCTGTTTTCCGAGGGAATCCAAACCAAGGCCCACAGGTGGATGGCAGCAGAGCCAGGGAGAGAAGACGCCTGTTTGTTTTTCCCAGTCATCATCCCACCAATATTTACTGCACCTCTGTTGGCGCTGTACCTGACCGGCAG